ATGATGCATTTCTGCAGCAAAGTTGTGGTAGTAAAGCAGTCTATCACCAAAGACAAGCTAACTCTCAAGCATAGATAATCTTGCATTATATTGTTTCTAGAAACAGAAAAAATTTACATTCATTGGCATTCTTCCAATAGATTCTTCTGATACCAAAGGGGGGAGCCTCTTTTGGATGTTTATAAGATGGTCTCAAGCACTTGTGTTTATCACAGTACTAGATTTTCTTTATGATAATCTCACTTTCCTCTTAACCAACTGTCACAAAACAAAATCTATGCAGCCAGCCTTTGAATAGATAAATTATAAACAGGGTGGCATGATGTCCCATCCACTACAAAGTTGCTAAAGGTTTTCATTATCCTGGTGTATTTACGAAGTTTGAAACTGATTCTGATGAGACAAACAAGATCCTAACAAGGCAATGCTACCCTCAACTTGCAAGTTTAATAAAACATACAAAACGGACCTCCTTGATTTCCGGAGGAGCGGGAACTTCAGGGGCCAGATCCCTTTCCTCAGGATCATTACCAACAGCTTCATCATCATCAGTGAATATTTCTTCATGCTCCCAATCTTCACCTAAATGAAAGTGCACATAAAAAAACCAGGGGTGAAAACACAAATTCTGCTAACAAAAGGGAAAAGCTAGGGACCTTCATTGTTAGATGTGTATGCATGTGCACATCACTAAGAACAGTATTGACATATACCTTTTCAGGTAATTCTGTTATTCAATTACAAATATATTGGGAAAAAAATTAGAGGAATCCAATCCATAAAGTACATTCAGCCAAGCCTTAAACCCCACAGTTTTGGGTTAACTACAAGGTACAGAAATTCATTTTAACCATTTATTCAAAATTATGGATAGTCAAGGTCCAGTTAATGGGAAAGCCCCATTCAGGAGATTTAATTAATTGTCACTATCAGCTCTCACTATATTTTTTTTTTTTTTGAAAGTTGTCATCTCTCACTATATTTAAGGTATATTTCAATGCTAACTTCATTGGCCTTCTGGTTCGATATGGAGAATTAAACGAAATAGTGAATAAATCAAAATAACAATTAACAAGAAATAGACCTCACCAACTAAGACATAAACATGATTAATGCTCACCCGTCTCAATATCATCATCATCCATATCAAGATCACCTCCCCTCGGACCTTCTTCATCATCATCACCAACTTTTTTGTTGAGTCCAAGCCTATTCTTTCTAGCTGCCTCCTCTTCTTCATCTTCCTCTCCTCTATCTGATACATGGCCTTCATCATCATCACCAGTTGGTTTTTTACGCCCCTTACTACCAGCGACATTGTTATCCTTGTCATCAAACTTCTCCGCTTCACCAAATGCAGCAGCTCCATTGTTTGCAGCTTTCATCATCCATCTCTCATATCCATCTGCAGTCTTCCTCCTGTTCTTCATTTTTTCTTCTGCTTCTTCCAACGTAAGTTGTTTATATTGTGCAACCTTGTTGAAGTTGTACCTGTCAAAGAGTGCCACAATTGAAAATCCCATCTAACAAGATTCAAATGTAGCAATATTTCCAGTGCAAATAACCTATAATAGTGCAGCAGTGGGAACAGCTTTAAATACTCAAAACAAACAATTAAATATGCCATTCATACCAAGAACCAGCTGGAATAGCTACAAATTCCTTTCCTTGCATCATAAGCAAGTAATAAGTTGCTGACTGTGAACCTTCAAGATGGCCCTGATACTGAGCCTGGCCTGTTTCGTCCTCCAACATCCAAGGTTTGTTCTTATATTTCTCCTACACAATATGAATCAACAATATTGACGGTCAGCATGAAAGGAATGAGGGGTATAAACCATATCAGTCTAAGGAAAAGGAGAATTTTTCTTCCTAATGATATAGATTTTACTTATTATATTGCTGCAATCATCCACTGTGGTTGCGTAAATAAAACAGATGATGTTCTATTCTACTCTCTACCCCTACTTCTACAGCAAGCAAAAAATCATTACATGCCAACAGAAAAATAATTGGTCTGGGTTTGAAAATAGAGAAGGAACTCCATAAAACTTTCTTTAAAGATATACTTTTCAATGTTCTCACCCTTTTTCTGGAATTTGGAGTATTCACCACAAAATTTTAGCTATCTCGTGTTACAGTCAAAGGTAGGAACATGCAAGCAACAGCTGATAAGGATAAAATCAAATACCCGCAAAGCATCAGTAAGTTGGCGTCCTTGCAGGCCTTCTTTTTGAAGAGACCATTTATTCTCAGCGTTTTTCTTCTTTGAAAAACTGGGCAACCCACTCATAAACCGACCGATAAAGAAGTTCTTGTCGGTGCTAGGACTTGGTCTAACATTGTATTCCTAAATTAAAGAAAGAATCCACAAATTACATTGAATATTTACTAATCTAATTTCAAAAATTCTATTCGCTAATCAATCTTAATTACTGTAAAAACTGTAATAGAACACGAAGGCGAGAGAAGAAGACGAACACGAATCAAGCGGGTAACAATGGCGCCACATTCGAAGCATTTGCCTTGGTTCTCTGCCATGGTTTTGCCACACGTCACGCACAAGGTCATGTGCTTGCAGTTGCTTCCGTACAGATCGACGGTCGACCCGCATCCGCTACATGACGACTTCAACATCAGATCAAAAGACATCTTCCGAGACGAACAAAACCAACGAGGCTAGGGTTTTAAACTAACACTTCAAAAAGAAAATGAACAAATCAAAACTATACGCGCGTTTTTCCGAGTTGATTAAAAATCGAAGAACATACGGAAATGGATTCGAGAGAGGATTTAATTCAACGATTCATGTATCGATGTAAGGCAAGAAACGAGAGAGACTCCCGTTGACGGAGTTCTTGATTTGGGAGATATAGAAGGACGAGGATCGAAGTAGCGTTTTCCTCACGAGAAGCGCGATGGACACGTGTGACGGTTTGATGGCCCGTTTTATAATTTAACGAACTTTTGAGTTTGGATAATTTCACTCATAACCATCAATAAAAAACCTTAGTACGCTTTCAATACACCTTCAATATTTAATTAAATTCGATATAATATATAAATCTTAATAATTTTCCCTTGATATCATGTTTGTTCATACATAATTAAATTTGATATAATATATGAATTTTAAATAAATAAATATTACTATATAATACTAAATATTTTTAAAATTCGAATTATAATAAACATTCAATAGAATCTAATTGTTATCACTTAATTACCCATGTCATGTCATTGTTCTTCATTTTAAGTTAATACTTGTGCTAATTTAATAAACATAAAACATAATTGATGTTTTATTGACAAAATTGCCACAAAAAACGAAAGAACAAATTCTTCACACATATATAGAAATTGAATGGTGGAGATAATATTTTATTCGATATCATATCCATAATAACATAAAATAAAAAATAAATCTCAACAATTTTAAAAAATAAAATAAAAAAAATTCAACATGAGATATTATAAAAAAATACTACATTCTTGCATTTTTCTCTCCATATTCGTGATTTCGATATTTGATAATCGAACTAAACTAACAAAATTGGTATGTATTTAATTTTTTAATTACTATAATTGTTTCGGCTTAGTTTCAATTTGTTATAAAAAAAAGAGTTTGATTTTGAATTTTTTAGAATTGATTTTATCGAACTAACTGTTTGCATAGTCTTACTTGTACTAATAGAGTAAACATAAAACATAATTGGTATTTTATTAACAAAATTGCCAAAAAAACAAAGAACAAGCTCTTCAAACATATATAGAAATTTGTGTTAATGCTTTATGGTGTTTCTATTATTGTCCAATTAATGCTTCACATTTTTTTCCATCACCAAGAAGCTAGATGTCAACTCCAATTTAATGTCATTGGTACATAATTTCGAAATGGATGAGATATTTTTTTTTTCAATATCATATCCTTAATAACACTTTTATTTCATTTCCTTTTTGCATGATTAGCTAGTTTATAACACAATCATGGTAAAAAAAACTAAACACTATATTAAGATATTTTTATAATTAAAATCAAGATACTATAAAATAAAAAAATGCATTAGATAAAATGAAAATACGAACAAACTTATTGGCAAATGGAGAAAAGAGACTGGTAGATAGCATCCCATCTCTAAGTTGGTACATAGAAAATAATAATCAATTAAAAAAAGTTTAAATGGCAAAAAAGTCCCTAAACTATGATCATTTCTTCAATTAAGTCCTTAATTTTTTATTTATTGAAAAACAAGCCCTTAATTTTTTTAAATCTTAATGAAAAATTAATTGCTACTAGACTCAAATCCAATTGACCTTTTTTTATTCATGTGACATATGTCATGGGCAGTTAACATGGTCGATACATTTGGCAATGTCATTATCCCACTTAAGTATAAGATCAAGAATGAACCAAAGAATTATTTTTTGAATAGTATCATAATTAAAATAATAATAATTAATGGATTTATTAATACTATTAGTTATATAAAACTTTAGTATAAATAATATAATTAGTATGAATTTTTGACACACTAGATCTATCAATGTCCTTTCACCCTCACATAAAATACTAATCGATAACAATTAATGTTTTGTTACAATTAAAAATTTGTTTAAAAATAAATTAAAATTTTAAAGCATGGTTACATATGATAAAAAGTTAAAAATTTAATTAAAGAAATAATTATAATGTGAATACTTTTTACTATTTAAGTTTTAAGAAAATTTAGCACATGTAATAACTCATGACGTCAAAAATAATTTATTATTAAAATTATGGTATCTTTAGTCTATTTTTTGTTTTGATCGAAGTTATATTATAGTCCCTTTTTATTTTTGAATGTTTTAAAGAAAAATTAGTACTTGTAAATATAGGTTAATCTTCGTTAGGAAACGGGGTAGGTAGGCTCGTGCTCGTCCATAACAGGGCTTGTGATGGCAACTACCATGCCAAATCCCATTTATTTAATTTAATAGTGGTATTGAGTTTCCCGTTAAATTAATAAAATAGGATTAGCAAACATAAAGAAAATGACCATGGATAAATCAGAATCATGGGAGCTCCCTACTGCAAATAAGTGAGCAAAAACCTCCGCTTCACTCTCATCTGCTCCTGCAGCTGCTTCTGCTTCGCCTCGAGCTCTCAGCGACTCCGTTTCTCAAGTCATGGCTTTGAAATCGTTCATCCAAGTCCACCCCGACTCCCATTTCCCCATCCAAAACCTTCCGTACGGAGCGTTCAAACCGGAACCTGCTGCACCGGTCCGTCTCGGCGTGGCAATCGGCGACTATGTCTTAGACCTCTCCGAGATCGCCAAAGCCGGTCTATTCGACGGTCCTATGCTCACCGGCTCCGATTCCTTCCTTCAGGTTCGTATCTCGACGCTTGCTTCATGTACTACGACGTCGTTGATTTCCGCTCGGTAGGTAGGTAGCTCAGTTTAGAAATGGCAGTAGAAACAGGAATCATAGAACCACAGATTCTTGTTTAAATCGTAACCTACCAGAAATCCGGTGATTGAAAAAATTCCTTGTAGCCTAATCCACGTTACGATTACTGAATCAAGTTGTGAACAAGATTATGAGTTGTTGACGTTGCTCTTTAGTTAAGAATTTTAACTTGTTTAAATCAATTGATTGCAAGTTGGTTGGTTTTGGTGTCAGCCTACTCTCAACAAGTTTTTGGCGCTGGGACGGCCTGCTTGGAAGGAAGCTCGTGCTACACTTCAAAAGCTATTGTCAGGTGTTTATTGTGACTTCTAGTTATTGATTGTATTCTAATACCCTGTTTTTGTTTAAACATGGCAAAAATGGTGGGTGAAGGTTATAGCATTAGAAATACTGTTGAAATTGCGATGTTATGTTCCTTCAAAAGTACAATATAGTTTTTAGCTGAAATGAAAATTCAATTTTGAAATTGGGGAGGGGGAAAATTGACCAATATTTTGATTGTGCAGCTACAGAACCAACCTTGCGTGATAATGCAGACTTGAAGCAGAAGTCACTTGTGCCGATGGTAAAAATATAAGCATCAGTTTGAATATGTAATCTGCGTGAACATGTTTATTTTCTATTGTCTTAATGTTTCGATTTATTGTGAACCTTTAGAGAAAGGTAGAAATGGTTCTTCCTATGGAAATTGGAGACTACACAGACTTCTTTTCATCTATGCATCATGCAAAGAACTGTAGCATCATATTTCGTGGACCTCAAAGCCCAATTCCACCAAACTGGTATGCTGATTTTGAAAGTTTTGGGAAATGAAGAGTGATGGCTTATTTGAATGAAAACTTTTGTGTGGCAAACCTTAAAGATCCCGCCTTCTCTCATTTGGAAATTTTATAAATCATGGGCATTGTGCACTTTCCAGGTTCCATCTTCCTATAGCATATCATGGACGAGCATCATCTATTGTCATCTCTGGAACTGACATTACTAGGCCAAGGTGAGAAGTTCAATTATTTATTCCTTATTCCTTAAAATTGTGGTAATTATTGCATGGAACTTCAGAATTTCTGTTAAAATGTTTAATTATTGTTTAAAATTAGTGACTGGGATTCTAGCATAACTGTCCTCTCAGCTTTAGATGCTAACTGGCTTAATCTGTATTCTTTTAGGGGTCAAGGCTATCCAGCTGGTGACTCTCCACCATATTTTGGACCTTCTTTGAAGCTAGATTTTGAACTTGAAATGGTCAGTCCTTAGTGTTATTGTCATTTTTCTATGTCATTGTACCTCAGCATGAATTATTCTCTTATATGGTCTCTTACCAAGCTGGCAGGCTGCTGTAGTTGGTCCAGGAAATGAATTAGGGAAAACGATAGATGTTAATGAGGCAGCAGATCATGTCTTTGGGCTTGTCTTGATGAATGACTGGAGTGGTATGATTACCTATTGTTGCTACAATTCAACATCCTCATTTTTTTTCAATAAAATTTTCTTTACTATATTTAAAACAAATTTGGTTTTGACAGCTAGAGATATTCAGGCATGGGAATATGTCCCTCTTGGACCCTTTCTTGGGAAGAGTTTTGGTAAGAAAACCATAACTTATTCCTTATTCTTATTCAACTTTTTTTCAGAGTTCAGGCTACAAGGAGTATCTGATTAGGCAGTTACTGATATGTGGCAAAACCACAGCTTCTTTTGAAAGGGGGGTCAAAATTAATGAACAAAATAATAAAGAATTATAGAATCTGATATAAGGGAATGAAGCTATCATATTTGGAGTAAACTGGTCCATATTGATAGATGGCCAAATAACAAACACTAGGAGATCTCTTAACCATCTTAAGCTTTGGGAGAAAATATTAGATAAACCAAGGGAAGTCATGGACCCCATTGGGCTAAAGATAGGTATTGCTAATGATGCCTGCGCATATGCTTTATCTTCTATTTAGTGATTCTCCAGAGGTTGTTATAGCAGGAACTTACTTTTTTTCCTCATCTTTTAGGTACTACAATATCCCCTTGGATTGTGACACTCGATGCTCTAGAGCCTTTTGCATGTGAGGCTCCCAAGCAGGTAGGTATCTGTATTTGCAGTCTTGGATCTTAAAGCCATTTGAGTTTCTAGCTTTTTCCCTATTTTCTTTCAGGGTGGTTATTCTTAATGCAACTAGCTAAAGATGCCTGTTGTGCGTTGCAGGATCCCCATCCATTGCCATATCTGACAGAGAAGAAATCCAAAAACTATGATATTGCATTGGAGGTAGATCTGGCAACTTAGTACATATATCTCATTGGTTTTTCAATTCACTAATTATCTTCTTTTATATTGTTTTAACAGAAATTTCCAGTTTGCCATAATGTTTTTGTAGTAATATACATTTTTAAGCTGAACCGCAAATACTTAAATTTTATGAAATTCTCAAAGTGAGAAGTTTCTTGCTTCTAGGTTCAAATTAAACCTTCCGGACAAAAGGATTCTAGTTTGGTTACAAGAAGTAATTTCAAGAACCTGTAAGGAGTTCCACTTCACTGGTGCTCTTATTCTTTTGAAAGTTCTTTCAGATGAGAGTTGTCTTTTCCATTAATGATGTTAAGAATCAGTGAATCCAATGGCCTCTTTCTATGCAAAATTTGATGTCTGCATCTCTTTCTATACTATTTACTATGCTGATTTGCTGCTTTTCCAATGCATACTGAATTTTGTAGAAATTTTGTGACAGATATTGGACGGTGACCCAACAGCTTGCACACCATACAATCAATGGTTGCAACCTGAGGCCAGGCGATCTTCTTGGAACTGGGACCATTAGTGGGCCTGTATGTTTATTACCTACCTTTCACCTTTCTATCCTTTTGCCTTTGTATATATCTACCAATTCACACATAAACACATAGAGGTAATCATGTATTTTTTTTTATGCATTAGAAATTTGTTGGCCCTGTGGTGTTCTTTTAATGTTTGCTGTAGAAGACAGCCAAGTCGGTTCTTTGGATATAACGCATGTGTTTGTCTTGAGATGCTCATTTGGGCCTGTTTCTTAATGATAGATTGTGACTACCAGAAAAGGAAATTAAGAGGTGAACAAAAACATTTGACTTATTTTTGGCATTTAGTTGGTTTTTTCTCTGCATTAGAATGGTTGTGCTACTAGGCTGCCTTGTTCAAGTGAAACATGTATTGTCCTTGAATATTCCAAGAGTTTCTGGTATAGTGTTGATCATGTTGCTTGCTGGTATGTGAGTTACAATATAACAGTCATCAGGTGATGCTGCATCTATTTTTAAACTCTTTTGTTCTTCTTGCAATAACTGTGAATGAGTGTTGTATTGTGAGCAGGAGCCAGACTCTCTTGGATGTCTGCTGGAACTAACATGGAATGGACAGAAACCATTGTCATTAAATGGGACACCTCGAAAATTCTTAGAAGATGGGGATGAAGTAATCTTCACTGGTTGCTGTAAGGTACTTTCTCCGCTCCACTTGGGTTCTTAAACCAAGTTGCAAGCATATTTGAACCTTTGAAACATTTGAAGCATAGAGTAATCATGTTTAAGTTTGAATTCCATATAGGGAGATGGTTACAACGTTGGTTTCGGAACCTGTGCCGGTAAGGTTCTTCCGTCACGTGACTGAGGAAACCCTTGTTCGTTGGGGATATAAGAGGGAGTACATGCCACTCACTGGAAATCCTCAGAGCTGAAAATGGTGTGTTTGCTGTGTTATTTATTGATTACAATGTTTAACTTTGTTGTAGCAGTTGATGGTATGTTGGAATTGCTTGATACTCTCTTCCATTAATTCATGCCCCCTTCTTACCTATATTCACATGGAAGAATACCATAGCTGATTTCAAATTAATATTTAAATTAAATTAATCGAATTTAATTATTAACGCCAACCCCAATAAAGGACGTCCGTTCGTCAGAAAGCAATGTGTGGGTCCCTTTGTTAAACGGGCGCTGCTCCGCTCGCTGATAACGCCGCTTATGAGCTTTACGCGCTGAGACCATTCAAGAAAACGTAACTGTAACTGACAGCACACGATCAAAACTTCCATTATACTACAATCTTCACTGTCACTTTCTCTCAGTTATTCAGCCAAACAAACCATGAAACCCTCTCGCCAATTCAGCCATTTCGGCTACTCATCGTCGACCACCGTCACCTTTACTTTCCACGGTGACTACTCCGATTCTCCTCCACCTCAAGAATCCAAAGAAATCCCCGTCGAGACCCCTGTCCCGATCACCGTCTACCTCCCGCAGGACATTGCCGCCGCCAAGATCCAATCAGCTTACCGCGCCCGCGTTATCCGCAACCTTTACAAGCAAATCTCAGCCGTCAACTCCGAGGCAGACCGTCTTCAACTACTAATCCAACGGCAGGAAACGGTAGACTCAATCCGGAGCGACGACCGGGAGAAACTGAGGATGAACGAGACCTTGATGCGTCTCTTACTGAAGCTCGACTCGGTGCCGGGGATCAATCCGACGGTGAGGGAAGCGAGGAGGAAAGTGAGCCGTAGGGTCGTGGAGTTGCAGGAGATCGTGGATGGGATTTCGGGAGCAAAACTTGACGGCGATGACGAATGTTTCGGACGGTGGGGTCCACGCGGGATATTTTCGATGAGGAATTGGGATGAAGCCGTGGAGGAGATGGAGGAGCGATTGTGCAGAGAGCGCGGTGGTCCGGAAATGGAGAGGTTTTGTGCTGAGTATCTGGGGTTTAGATGCTTACAGAGGTTTCTTCGCGAGTAGTATTACTGATTTTAATCGTATGTTTTGAACCTTATTGTATAATCATCTGTCTACGTTAATCCAAGGGCTTCGTTCAATGTACGGAGGCAAAAATTTTGCAATATTTAATCTCATAGCAAAATAAAAAATGTTTTCGGAAAATCATATTAATCAAATTTTTATTGTTTTAAAATGAAATTTTTAAGGCTTAATTAACGAAAAAAGAAAATGTCTTAAGTACAACTTCGGTGATCACATAATCACATCATTCAAACATTAATTTCTTTTTACGTATTAAAAGTTTGTGTAACAAAAAGAAAATTTTAATATAAATTAAAATGAGAATTTCTTTTAATGTAATAATGAGATAAAAACTAAACTATTGATTATATAGTAATATAAAGAGCTGAGCTGGCGCATCATAGGCGTTTTACGTGGCATATGATGGGCGACGACTCACTTATCTTCCCGTGCACCGGAAGACTAACTGATAATAATGCATCGTCGGCAGACGTGGGATTGCGAAGAAAATATTTAAAATTTAAAAGAAATAAAAATGAAATAAAATGAGCCACAGTAACAGCTACCAGCCGCGTGCCAACCAGGGAGAGTCACACAGAGAAAATGGAAGCAGAATGGAGAGACAAAAAGCTCTATCCTTTACTTGGCATTCTTTTGCTTTCGATTCTTCTCTACCTCAACTTTGGCAACACCAATCTCATTAGTTTTCCGATCTTACGGCAGCCCCGGTTGGATTTCGTGTCTGCAAACTCCACGCATTTCATTATCGTCAACGGTGGTGGTGCTGCTGCGGAGGAGGAGGAGGAGAATCAGTCAGCGGTCTACGTCAACGGTTGGAACTCCTATTGGCTAATGCAGGAGAGCGTGTGGGGCGGTCCGTCGAGATCGAAGGCGTCGAAGATGCTCCAGAGAGGGGCCCAAATGGGGTTGACCGTCTGTAGAACTTGGGCCTTCAGCGATGGTAATGGACCTAATGCCTTGCAGATCTCTCCCGGTGTCTTTAACGAAAGAGTCTTTCGGGTTTGTCTTCCAATTTCATTTGCTCATTGTTAAATATGTATACCCTTTTGCTCATTCTGTTTGATTTTTACTATGATGCATGAAATGTGACAGGGACTGGATTATGTCATTGTTGAAGCAAGGAAGCATGGGATTAGATTGGTTCTTAGTTTGGTGAATAATTTGAATAACTTTGGTGGGAAGGCTCAGTATGTGAGATGGGCACAAGAAGCTGGAATTAATGTTTCTTCTTCAAGTGATTCATTTTTTTCACACCCGATGATTAAAGATTACTACAAGTCTTACGTTAAGGTACGCTGCCATGGTCCATGGTTATATTCTTCAAAGCTCTTTACTATGAAGATAACTATACAAAGTTAATGGCTTTACTCACTATATGTATGCTTCTTGTTTAGCAGTAGCAATCAAGTCAACCATGTGTTTGCATTTTGCATTTTACAGGCAATTTTGTCTAGAAAGAACTCCTTGAGTGGTGTGAAGTATTCTGACGAGCCGGCAATATTTGCTTGGGAGCTGATGAATGAGCCCCGGTGTGAGTCCAGTTCCTCTGCTCCCATTCTTCAGGTGAGCTATAAAACTCGCATTTGCATTATTGTGTTACTATGTGTTTGTAATCTTTTGCCTGAAGAACGGTTTAGAGGGTTCTTCCTTTTTTATCTCTAGCATCAGTAGATTGTTATGATTTTCTACCTATGTTAAGTAAAATGGTGTTCATTATCTTGATATCTAATATAGATTATGGTGGATATTCTACACTTCTCTTTTGTTGTTTCTATAGTTTTTATTTCAGTTTATTTTCTCTGGATCTATTAGAATATTATTAATGCTATTAGCTTGGAGCACAGGCATGGATCACTGAGATGGCTGCTTTTGTCAAGAGTCTGGATCAAAAACATTTAGTGACTGTTGGACTTGAGGGGTTTTATGGCCTCAATACAACTAAAGGACCGGAAGTAAATCCTGGGGAGTGGGCAGCCTCACTTGGATCAGACTTTATACAGAACTCAGCAATCGAGAACATTGACTTTGCTTCAGTTCATGCATACCCTGATAGCTGGTTGTTAAATTTTACTTTTGCTATGATTTGATAATGTCTTATGAATGTTTTGTCCAATTGTCTGAAACTGTTGTTTGCTACAATTACCAAGGGTGATTGCTTTCCCTTATCTCATTTGATCTTATTAGACCAATTGGAATACATTACTAAGCATTTTAGAGAGCTAGGTTGATACAGCGATAGAATTTCAACTTACGGAAAAAATATCATGTGATTCTTTCTGGTCTGTAGAAGTCTATCAGAGATGGCTCTAGCATTTGGACTATTACTACATCTCAGAGGCATATGTAACAGGCTAGATGGTGATGGATCAAGTTGGTGTCATAGACTACCTAAGTGCATATTTCATTAACTTTCAATCTTTATCCCTTAATGACGTATGTTGTGTATGTATTGTAGGATACCACATGCTGATTTGGAAGAAAAGACTCGCTATCTTTCCCAGTGGGTGGATTCTCATATAAGCGATGGGGATCAGGTGCTTAAAAAACCGATTCTCTTCACAGAAGTTGGTTCTTTGGTCTATGTGAACAACCAAAGCATATCTGACAAGGATATTCTATTAAACACCATGTATGATAAAATTTATGAGTCGGCAAAGAAGAGGCAAGCTGGGGCAGGGGCCTTAATTTGGCAGTTACTAGTTGAAGGAGTGGAGGAATATGGTGACAGATTTTCCTTCATAGCATGGGATAAACCCTCGACCTATAAACTGATACTAAAGCAATCATGTAGGCTTCAAAGCATTTTCCCGAAGAGCAGTCAGAATAGGAAACTTGGCAAGGATCCTTGCTCTGGTCAATTACCTTGACAACAGTTTATTGAAGGGTTGGAAATAAAAACACATATAACCTTACCTCTTTTTGTGGAGAAAATAGTGTTGATATTCAATAGTTGTATATTCTTGAATTTGTAAAGAAAAACAAGTGATAGATTAAAATGGAAGAAATGTGATTATTCAGATTTTAGATTTAAGGCATTTGTATTCATTTAAAAACTGTGTATGTAGAAAATCCATTGTTTGCTACTGAGCTGCCAGGCATCTATAACCAGCTGGTTTCCCCTGCAATTCATATTCTTTGTACGTATAATGTTACAGTACACACAGAATCTGATTTACACTGAATTTAATGATTAATTTTCTGTTATTTGATTTATTTGTTTTGTGAAAGAGCTTTTGGGCCAGCCTTGTTTAATTTTCTGGCATATTCAGAATTATCATGTATGATGCTGCCGGCATGATCAGCCTGAAGGGCATCTTGTCGTGGGGCAAGAAGAGTCCCCAAGCATCTCTGGCTATCTCAGCCGATCAGGTACCATGCCTTCCTACAGTTTTAGATGCATATTTTTAGCTTGTAATCTGTGGATTAGCAGTTAAGCATGTAACAAATAAATGTTTTCTCTTATCTGTGTTCAGTTCGCTTGAACTTCATGCAAATCAGACAGTAATGAACCAAAAATACAGATTTTCCAAGAAACAGAACACTGCAAGTGGAGTAGTTTTTGCAATAGAAAGCCACAACTAATGGAAACCTACTTGGATGGGGAGTCGTTCAAGCCACACAACTGCATTTGCACCGTGACATACACTTCTTGCAGTCAGAAAGTCTTGGCTTCCCACCATTGCAGTCACACAGGCTGATACACTTTGACCTGGAGGTTCCACCCCACAAGCACCGCGCCATGCAGCGTATAAGCGGCACACATGAAGGACAACCGTATTTCATCCGGTCAAGGATGCAGGCTTTACATCCGCTGCCGTTGGATGGGCATGCCAGAGCTGGAGAAGCCATCGAGCATAACATCAGTAGCATCGTCAGGGCCAGAGCTAAGGTAGGCAGCTTCTTCCCCTCCATTATCTCTTCTTACTCACTTGGCTATTTCCGGGTGTACCTTTTTCAACCTTTTGTCAATTTATACAGCCTAAGCAGCAGGCCAAATAAAGCAGAGCAATGTTTTCACACTGTGAGCAGTGTCCGAATTTTAACAGCCATCCGATGCGAATCTTGTGGTTACTGAAGTCTGAAACCATGTGTGAAAGCCAACTCTCTGTTTCTAGTATGGGTTGCTTGCCGCTCTAGAACTTTTTCTTCACTCAATTAACTCATTAATTGCTTGCTGCCATGTCTTGGTTTGCACAACTTCTCATTATCTTTTCCTTCCTCTGTGTCTTCACGAGGTCCAACTCCATCCTGACTAGCGAGCCCTTCCAGGCTCTGGTAAGTTGGTAATGCAAATAAACCTTGCCTGGTCCTCAGCCTGGATTCAATACCTCACTGCTACAATACTCAACACGTGTCTTCCTTTGAACTCCGTGTCAAAGTTTACACAACACTTAGGTAAGAAATTGTTTATTTTGATTTATTGAGACTCACGTTGAAGATAGTTCGAACATTTAAATATCTAATCATATTCTCATTCACAACTCTCTTTAGGACTGTACATTTGACAGTAAATTGCTCAAATTGTACCCTTGACACCCCCCTTCACACACACAAAAGATTATTAAAATTTTAATAATTTTAAATTATTTGATAAATTTTATAGTTTTTTAATATAATTAATTAAATTAATTAAAAAAACTTATCTTACACGTAAATTTTGAAGTTTTTTATACTTTGAAAAAAGATTTGATTAATGCATGTATTAAAATATAAATAAGAAAGTTCATCTAAATTCACTGGTATCAACGTCAATGATTACTATATTAAAACGCAAAAGACAATAATTAACCAAATGTTTTGGTTAAACATATTGTACTAGAATTGCTTAACCAAGGCAAAAACATATAGTTAAGGAACCAAAGAAGTCAAAGCATAGTCCAATTCCAGGAACGGCAAAAGATAAAGGTAGAGAGACTATCCCCATCTTCTTCTGTCCATATACAAACTATTCAAGGAAATGAGTTTGAAGATTTGCCTCCTCGAATGGATGTTTCTTGGTTGTTGTTGCTTTAACCATCCCTTGCGGAACAGGAGAGCTGCCCCAAAGAGAATTGTCAGAGGCTTACAATTCCTCCTTCCTATATATCCAGTGCGTATTTTGTCAAAAATATGGGCAGCCTGCATGCCAAGCTCATTGGATTCTCTTCTGACATGTTCAGTTCTGGATTCCTGGAAAGCTTTCAGCCTGGCTTTCGCTTCCTCCAAAAGATTTCCAACAAATGATGACCCTTGTGTAGTTAACTGCTGCAAAAGCTTCGATCACTAGCGATTCCATCCACCATTTCCATGGCACCCGTTGCAGCTCTGATTACACCCACCAACACAGCCGGCCCAATGGTTCACTGACATTGAGAGCTCCATCAAAATTGACTTTTGGACAAATCTCAGAGGTGGCAGCTTCCACTTTGGTTGTTCTCTGCTCCTGGGCCTGATAAGCAAGGTAATTCTTAGCAAAAGTTGCTGTTGTATATACGAGGGCTCCTCTGCTCATTTGTTCTTAATCCCTGCATTTCTACTATTCCAAATAGCACAACTCACTGCTAGACCTGGCATCCTGAAACCTCCTAAGTTGATCCACTTTGTTAATTAATGAACCACGTGTTTAAGCCAATTGCAAAACGCTGGAGTGCCTAATTCCCACTACTGGACCAATCCCCATTCAGAAATTTCACAATTTGAAATGACATATTCCTAACCAAGTGAGTCTAGAAAATGATCTATATTCAAAACAATAAAAAATCGACCCAACCCTACCGACTTGCATAGGTTACCTTATCTACCTAGTACCTTATCTTCACTCCCGTCGTCTACTTTACCTGCATCGTCTGCTTCCCTATAACTACCCTTACTTCTCAGCATAGAAGCTAAGTAACTCCCATTACTTCAGCCCAATTATCGTTGCCATCTAAAAGCCAAGCCTTTTTAAAAGGACAGAGCTTAGCATAACTTGATGAAACTTTATACTTGCTCTCGTAATTTGGAAACGGAGAACCCAAATTGAAAAATAAGTCCAAACTATCAATCTCTCATATCGGGCATGTAGGCTTAGACTAGCCATCGGATTAGCCTCAAAAGATAGGCCCTGCACCATGTATTAAATACAATGAATTCACCTTAATTACTACTACGAGTAGTATAAATTTAGTGCAGGCCTGCAGGGGGGCCAAAGAGATCAACAAGGTGTACGAATGCGGTGCATGTTGATAGTTGAGAGGAAGAAATCGATGTGAGAGAGGGAAATCAATGGAGGAGGCAAGCTGGAATTTGATCAATCCGTTCAGTCTGCTGTTGGCTTCGTTAGGATACTGTTATTTCTTGCTCACTAGAATCCCATTAGGCATACTGAGGTTCATGTTTCTCCTACCCATATTCTACCTCTTCTCCATTCTTCCCTGGTATTTCCCATCCGCCTTACTTAGAGGGATTCTATCTTTCTTTATCACATGGATTGCTTCTTCCAAGCTCCTCCTCTTTTGCTTCAACCAGGGTCCTCTCGTCCACTGCCAAAACTTTCTCGATTTCATTGCCATCTCCATTCTTCCCATGAAAATCAAAGCACAACCAACTTCTTCAAGATCGGTAAGTATTCTCCTTCTGCTACTCAAATATTATGTCTGCAAAGCGATGCACGCTCCAGGAGCCGTATCCATGTATGTAACCCTGAGCTTTTGATTGATTCAGACCATGGGGCGGTACGAGCCCGTCCAACTTTTCAACAAGCCTTACTTAGCAACATCCTTACAAGACTTCTGGGGCAGGAGATGGAACAGGTATGCTTCGAATATTTTGCGGGAAACGGTCCACAAGCCGACCCGAAACATGTTAACGAGTGTTGTTGGGGTTGAGCCGGCCAGGGTGCTGGCTTTGATATGCTCCCTTGTCGTATCTGGAGTCTTGCATGAGATGCTCTTTTACTACATCACGTGTGGGAAGAAACCGACATGGGAAGTCACCTGGTTCTTTGCTCTCCAAGGATTGTCCATGGCGTTTGAGGCTGCGTTGAAGAAGTGGGTTCGGACCAAGGGTTGGACAGTTCACCCTCTTGGTTCAGTCATATTGACGTGTGGGTTCGTCGTGGTCACGTTTTATTGGTTGCTGGTTCTGCCGGTTTGGAGGGACGGACGAAATTCTTGTGATTGCTAACAAATTTAGTTTCTTTCCTTTCTTTAGAACTTTGCATGGGCTCAAACAGTCAAACTACTTTAATCTGATTATACTCTTTTTATTATCAGAACAAACTGAATTTATTGATAAGAATAAAAAAAGTAAAATATTTCACGTTTTAAGTTTTAATTAAAATTTTAAGTGAATTTATTAATTTTTAAAATAGATATTTCATCTCAATAATACAGCCATCGAAAATAAAAATTATAAAAAAATTAAAATAATTTTATAATTAATTTAAAAATTATTATTATATTTTTTAAAAATAAAGAGCTTGGAATGATGCTCTCTTAAGGAGCTCGATTGGGATTCATTAAATGGGTCGGTTTTTTTTTAATTAGTAAAAAAAATGATAAAATTATATAATAATAATTTTAAAAATTAATTAAAAGTAAAATTATCCTTTTATCATTATCATGTCAACAAATTAATGAAAACACTAACAATTGACTAATAATTAAATTTATGTGTTCATGAAAAATATTTTTTGAAAATGAAATGTTTATTTTAAAAGTTAATAAATTTTTATATAATTTCTATCAAAATTTAAAAAATAAAAATATTTTACTTTTAAAAAATAAATTAAATTTCAACGTAAATGTATGATTTGTAAAGTATGAAAAAGATAAAAAAGTTAATTAATACGAGTCTAAAAGTCAACCTACTAATTAACATGCATTGATTTACTAATTTTGGACATAATTTATTAATATAATAAAAAAATACGAAATTAAACGAATTTAAATTTAAAATTATCGTATTTCATATTTCTAATTTCGATCAAAACTTTAAGAAGTAAAAATATTTTACTCTTAAAAAAAATAAATTGAGTTTCAACAAAAATGTATAATTCGAAAAGTATAAAAAATATATAAAACTAATTAATACGAGTCTAAAAATCAACTTGCTAATTAACATGCATTGATTTACTAATTTTGGACATAATTTGTTAATATAATAACAAAAAGTACGAAATTAAACGAATTTAAATTTAAAATTATTGTGTTTTATATTTCTTGCTATACAAGCTCGAGAAAAAAAGTAAGATGGGAATTTTTTATTACAACGTATTTTAATTTTCTTTTACAATTATAATTGAGGGTCATTAGACTTTGTGTAATACAAATATTGGTATTTAATATTTTTCATTTCAAGAAAATAAAAAAGGCTAATAATGCCATAGGCTATGAGAATTGGACCCTTTTAATAAATATAAAAGTGAACCCCCAATAAATTCCCACCATGTATTTTTTAATTTTAAAGAAAAAGGTCAAGAGATACTGTTTTAGGCTTTTGGAGCTGAAACTGGAAAGTGCTAATGGTTAACGCACTTACATTCTTAAAAAACGCGCCAAGAGCCGCGTACTCTTCAAGCGCCCTTTCGTCGGCTTTGATCCGTAGAAGCTGCGGGAAGAAGAGCCAGGAGCCGGTTACCATGATGAATCCAATGGTCAAGGGAGTAGAAACCGCCGTGGGCAACCGCAACTTGTCCCTTAACGTCTTCTTCAGAGCAATCTCCGCCATCAAACACGCTCCGTGGAGGAGAAAGAACCACGTGATTTCCCATGTGGGCCTTACGCGTCCCAGGTAGTAGAAAATCAGCTCGTGCATGACTGCCGACACGACGAAAGACCCGAAAACGGCGGGGAGCGGAGCCCATTTGCGACCAACGAGTCGTGCGCCAATGTTGAGCACAGGCTCGTAAACCGTCGGTCGTAGAATGCTGGTCACCATGATGTTCCATCTCCTGCCCCAAAAATCTTGCAAGGAAGTTGACAGATACGGTTCATTGAACTGTTGCTCCAGCTCGAGACCCAACATGGCTCGAGCCAGGGCTGCCACCATGGCCAGGATGATCTCCAGACAAAAGTAAACGTGAGCACAATACAGAACCAACATGACCGTGGGGTGGATAAACTCGCTGTAGTCATATACACGAAGCAACAATGCCAACAGGAGAAATTTTATTGCATAATTTATAGGTGATTTCTGGCTCTTGTTAGGCTTGACCGGTCCTGGGATTTCCTCGTTTTGGCTGTCTAAGGTCTCTTTGAGAGAAGGGATTTCTTTGTTAAGGCCATTTGGATGTGATTTTGGAGGTGGGTTGTGTAGGATTTTGATGGGCAAACAAGCAACAGCCAAAAAACGAAGGAAAGAGAGCGATGGGGATAAAGGGCCTTTGCCAAAGGCGAAAAGCAAGAGCTTGAAGTTTCCAAGCCAAGTGATGAAGAAAGCGGTGGTACCTCCTAGATGTATGGAGGAGAGACTGAGAGGGAGGAGAACATACAGGGAGACAACAGGTAGCAGACAAAGAAGCCGAGCAGTTCCTTTGGGGATTATCTTACCTATGGCATAGCAGTAGCTTAGAGAAATGACTACGCAGAGCCAAATCTTCATGAAGTTGTTCATCTCTCCGCTCTCCATTTCTTCTCTTCTTTCCTATCTCTCTCTCACCCTTCGTTGCTGAAGTACTCTGAGAAAGAATGGCAGAGCTTCTGTAAATCCCAGAATGGGTTTAATTTCTCTATGGGCGGGTTAAAGTTATGGCAACCCTGTTCTAGTGTGAACCAGGTTTTCCATTTTATGATGCGGGCATTGGTATTTGTCACAAGTCGATGGCTCAAATTCTCTGTTTTGTCAATTGTGGGCAGCAACGTTTTCATTTTGTTTCTGTCAGTTCTAATGCGCAAATTCTAGAATCTAGAAGAGATGTGCAAGGATCCAGGAGATGAAGCAGGGAATCAGCTACAAGACATGTTAATTAGGAGCTGTGAGGAACTATGGACCGCCTGGGTTCATGTATTTGTGCATGTAGTATCTGTTTTTTCTCCTAAAAAGAACAAAATTATGTTAAAAAATTGTTATTTTTCTCTTTAAACAAACAGAGAAAACCATCATAACTTTGCTGAAGTTTGACTCCTTTTGAATGCCATTGTCGGCAAGCAGTTGCTGGTCTCTGACCATGAAGGGTCCCTGCATGGGTTTTCAACACTTTTTGTTTGCATTTTCTCTTTTCAATTCTGGCAGACTTGGGGAATCTTCCTAGCAATATGCAAAATTTTTTATTTAACTTACAGCACCTCTTAACCTATTTTATATCATATATTATATAGTTTGTTACAATTTGATTATTTGATTTATTTTAAGATTGTTTTTGATTTAAAATTTAAATTGAGATATTATTCATTTAGTGACTTTACAATAGCATTCCCAATAAGTAAACTAGCAAAAGGATTACATACCAAATGAAACTGAAAACAGGGATTGCCAGTTTTCTTGTTTCTCCAAAACAGCAAAATATTTGTGTTAATTGGTTCCCTGAACCAAGGCAGACAACCAGTTTTGTAACCGCAAACCAGTCACTCAAGAAGCATGTTTCTCACTCTTGTCACTTCAACCATTTGCAAAAGCTTACCTTGATGAACCAAGGAATCATACACCATCAGCATCGGCTTGTCGAATTCTCTATCCTACTGTTGCTGCTCGTATATCTGCATATAAGCTTCGGACAGTGCAACCATCTGAGGAAGGGTTTCAGAAACATGCAGATCTTGCATCTCATACCTGTAAACATGAATTTTCAGATGCATCATCCAACTGTTTGTAGCATTACCAGTTACCACTCAGAAAAATGAAAAATTATTTTAGAAAATTACCATAGTTCTTCTGACTTCCGCTGTACAAAGACCCTGTAGAACCCCTCGTCAGGCTTACCATCATGAACAATATTAGCAATCAGATCATACTTGGTGCGCAACTTTTCATTCTCTTTGGTTGGTGCTGGCAGAGGAATGTAGTCCTTCAACTCCAGGTTTTTCACAGGAAAGTTCACTGCAAAGGAGAAACATTAAGTTAGCATAAAGTGACAAAACCAAACTAGGTCCCGTAAGATATAGTGATTAGATTCCAGAGATTGATCAAACGAATTCTATATATTTCCAAGAACATAAAACTCACCCAATGTTGGGTTCTTTTCTCTGAAGAAATTATTCCTAGTAAAGCGGCCCATGTGAAGTATCAAGTACTGTGGCAATCTGGTGACACGATATCTCATCCTTGCTGGAGGACGAACTGTAGTCGTTACAGTCTCACCATCAAACTTCTTCAGTATATTGAACAAAGGAACCTAAAACCAATCACAAACAATATTTATCCAATACAGTTGGTTGTTCATTTCATAAGAGCATTTTCTGTCATCTATCTGATCAGCAGAGCCAACCACTGAAATATTTAAACACTATTATCAATAACAAAGTTATTTGACTTTGTCTGCACAACCAACATTGACTTTGCATAAGCCTCTCCTTGCATTCTCTAACTCCCCTTCTGGTGCATGTGTCATCTAAATTATCAACTAGACTTACAATATTGGATGCCAGACCTGATAAATGAGTTTACATATTACTGGTCACAATGGCCAATGATGCCCACCAATCTGATGGATATGGGTTTAACTGTGTGGTTTTTGCATGTTTAAAACCATTATAAAGTGACTCAAGGTGCATATCATGCAAGAAAGGGAGTGGGGAGGAGGGTATAAGAGAACTTGAATAGGGGTAAAAAGGTGCAAAAAATAAACTAAAAATTTCAAATCTTATGAACACATTTGTTCACAATTCGAATCAAGCAAGGAACCACCCACATTGAAGCTAGCAAGCAATGTTCTCTTTAACACTTTCCCACAAATGTCCAGAAATGGAAGGAGAAAAAAAAAAACCCAAAAACACGTAAAATACCTGAGGTATTATATTTTTCTCCATCACATCTTTGAAAAGAGGTGGTTCTGGCAAATCCAATCCAAGCATCAAAAAGGGCATTCTGTAAGTTTCAGCACCAGCATTACGCTTCTCAATTACACCATCTGTAATTTTTGGAGCTCCATTTTGTTCCTCACCACTTTCTTTCTTCTCAGTGATAGCCTTGTTCTGTGTCTCTTTTACAACCTCCAATTCCCCCTATTATACCACAGTGTAAAATAAGCACAGAAAATGACTTTATCAAGATGCCGAAGCATAAAACGACGACTTATGGAGTGCAAGGTTTTAATTAGAACCTGAAAGCACTTATGGATGATGCTGCTACTTTTCTTTGAAGTTCTAAGATCTGCATGCAGCGTATTAAGAAGCCATGACATGAATTCAACTGGCTCAGACTGCACACCTATTCGAAACCGTTTTTTACTGGCTTTCATAACTGCCTGTAGAAACTCATGAGGGCTAACCTGTTGACACAAGAAATTTGGAAAGCCATGAATCCAGTGTGTTCCAGAACATAATCTTGCAATAATATAAGCATGCTCTAACCTGTCCTTTAAAGTTTCGAGCATGCCAAATCTTTCGTGTGAGTTCTCCAAATCGATGAACAAGTGGAGATTTACAGTGCTGGTAATTTTCAGGGATAAGGAAAAAGTTCCTTAAGGGAGTAACTCTCATTAAAGATTGAATTGTGACATTAACAAAATCAGTCTTTTGAATATTATTCAGCCCCACCTGAAGATTTGCACAAATAGTGAGATCATATTAACACAAAAGAATGAAAAAAATGCAAGTTCTTAACAATTATCATAAATATGTGTCTTTGACTTTGAGAACAAAGATGAGTACCATTCCCGGAAGGTAATCTGAACCATCAAGTGCTCTAGACCATTGCTTGTTCTTGTCAAGCTGTTCAACTTGTTCTCTGGTAAACCTGCAAATATGGAGCCCAAAAAATACTATAAAGTGCCTGAGAGTGAAGACCTCTCATTATCAACCACTAAAGAGTACTATAGATCAGAACTATTTCAACTTGTTAGCTTAAAGCTTGACAGAAAACATAAACTTTGTGCAAGCTAGAAAATCCACAGTACATTACAGAATGAATGGTAGATATCCAGAGAACGATATGAAGCAAATGAACATACGTATGCAAGTGCAAGGAAAAAGTAAGCTAAAGGGAGGATGAAGAATGAACAGAAATGGGGAGGAGCAAGTAAAAGCAATCAAGTGAGATGTGCGTAAACCTTGGATTTAGAACATGGCGTATATCATCCAATGATGGGTCATTAATTTCATAGCCATCAGGAAGACAATACACCTTCTCTGTTCGAAGATTGATGTAGACATGATGTCCTGCTTCTAGACTATGAGTATAAGCATGGGACTTCTTCCCTCTTCCTTGGTAATACTTCCCACAGACCAGGCATGCATACACATTCAAATTTGACAAAGAGACCGAACAAAACCTCTCAAAATCAAAATCCAGCACCTGTGAAACAGAAGTTAATAACCATTTGACAAATCTTAAAAGGAAAATAAATCCAAGGAATCTACAATTTACATATCCAATCAAGTTTCAACACTTAGATTAAAGTTATTTACCTGGCGATTAACAGTATCAAGGTAAGGGCAGTCTCTTCGTACTTCAACCTGGCGATTTTGCTTCCCCATAAATGATCCTTGCCCATACAGATCATCATTGTCATCTTCATCTTCTTCACTTTTAACTCCCTGAGCATTCCCTTCCGACCTTGCTTCACCATCTTGTTCTCCACCGACTACGCGACCCAATGCCCTCCTTTCATCATCTTCGTCATCATTATAAGGCACAAGTGGCTCTTCAGAAGGTGAAGATGGCCAACCTACAACTTTCTGCCGTTTCGAGTCCCCTCTCCTGTCTTCACTATTACCATCATCCCTCTTTGTTTTCATCATTTCCCCCTCCTTCACTCTCTCGGTTTCCAGCTGTTAAAACACAATAGCTTTCATCAATTAAATTAAATTCTCTAAAAATCTTCCATTTGCATTTATTCAACTAACATATATGAAAAGGCAAAAAAAAAAAAAATTGTTCCTTTTGGACTCTAAGCCGGAAAACTCATATTTCCAGCTCAAATAGCCAATCATCTAGGGTTCTTATCGAGTACCACAAAATATAATCGAAGCAGCAGAATAATGAAACCTCAAAGTTCAATTCTTCTCTCATTTGTTGCCTAATTCGTGCTTTGTTACTTATCCAATTTCAATCATCCAGCGAAGAAAATGTGTTAAAAGGAAGATACAAGGAGATTCCACAATGATTAACAAGGATTTCCGGCTAAATAACATCAGCAACGACGAAAAACACTACACATTAACACAAAAAATTACGAAAAAGAGCTCAACCGGCGAACCTGATAAGAAATGTTCTACTCAAGCCAGAAGCAAACGTCAATCATTTACTTAAAAGTGTCACCGGCCGTCGACACTTTGAGGACACGAGATTTAGTATTTCGGGTCCCTAAGGCGGCAACTAAGATCTGGCTTTGAGAGAGAAGCTTGATTATTCAATCCAATCCAATCAAACATGAATCTTAAGCCCAGTTTCATATCGGGCTTTAAGCTGTACTGATCCGTTCGTTAGAAACTTTGGGCTTTGAGTAAATTTAAAATTTTGGATTAGTGCATATGCATTTATTTATTTTTCAGTTTTATATCCGATACATTATCAGTGTATAAGATTTATATAATATTGGTGAACCAAATATTCTCCTTTCGTTTATAAATAAATTGAAAAATCAAAAACTCTCTAAATGCTTACAATTTTAATAATATTTACGTTGAAAGACTTTATCTTTTATTATTATATGTTTATAAATTTATATTTTTTTAAATAATATTTCAGTATCATATGCAAACATTAAATCATATATAAAATCAATTATAGAAATATATTGAAAGAAATGCTTCTGATTTCTTAAATAGGGTTTTTTGAATTAAGTGATTCGATTTAAATGTAAGATTCAAATTTAATCTGTTTCATGATTTCGGGATATTCTTTTTCGAGACTTAAATCCACTTTATTCCGAATTAAAAAAGTATAACAGAAAAAAAAAGGCCCAAGATTTTTGGCGCGAAATGAAGCCATTGGAAAAGAACAGAATCAAAGCCATTGGTTGAGAATTGAGACAAAGAGATGGAACAACATAAAGTTAAAGGGACATGCTTTGGCTTAACTTTAACTTTCACTTTGAAGGGAAAAACAACAAAGGATCCAATCATGGAACGAAGCCTTTACTAGCATCTTGTTTAAACTTTCTAACTTTTTTTTTTTTCTTTTCCCATTTGTTCACTACAAATTTGGTTACTGCCATGGCAGGGTATGAAGCTCAACAGGGCCAAAGCTTAAACTTTTTTATTTAATTGATTCCTACTGAATGAATGTCTAACTGCAAATGGGATTAAGAGAGTAAAGAAGAAGATTTAACTCTTTTCATTGTGTAGATGATCAGTCTCACCCAGGATAGATGGCAAATAAGAAGAAAGGAAAATGAATTTATGGTCACATCTAAAGGAGACTTGGGCACACAATGGAGTCGGAGCAGAGCAATGAGAGTGGAGATTTCGTGGTCTATGGTTGCCATTCTTTGCGGATGTCGAAGGTGTAGTTTATCTCCAAGTAGCTCTTGTTGTCATCATCGGCAAACTGCAAACCAGAAGGATAAACAGAAACGAAATCAGTAAGGGTTTACATGTGAAAAATCTCAGGATGGTGCAAAGGTTATCAGTGATTCCATGTCTAGAACTCATCAGATGACCCACAAGTTTGAATCTGTAAACCCCTGGCTCTTGAAACATGGATCCTGACAAACTCATTAATGGGATCCTATTATCAGTAAGGCATAGGAAGGGGATCATTAATTTAGCCTTGCTCTAGAACCTGAAACGATTGGTTTGGGGCCATTACTGAAGATGGTGACAGAATCAATACTGACTGATAGTGAAATTGGATTGAAAATATGCATTTTCCTATCTTTTTTTTTTTTTGGTTTTCAAAGAAAATGACCGCAGGGCCTGCAGAATTAAAAGAGACACCATCTAACAAAGTAATCATAACAAATTACGTCTTAAGCTTGTCCTGGTAAAGGCACAGCAGACCAGTGCAAAAGGGCTAAAGAAACACTAGAACAACTGTCGAATTTACCTTACTTCTAGCTGAGTAATTTCCTCTAGCGAACATTCCAGATGGAGTTGTTTCTTCAGGCATTTCATGAGTGTATGGTTCTGCTTGGGGACTGAAGGTTCCAAGCATCTCTTTAGTGCTATCCACTGTTACAAGAAGACATGGTGAAGAACATATCGAATGTAAACAATTCTTTTCAATATGAACAAGCGACACTGAGAGAGGAATTACCCTTGACACCAGTTTTCCAAACCGTATTAGTGTACTTGAGGCCGGATACAATGTTGTTGCTTACTTGGAATGTAAATTGCAGGCTGTATTTGCTACCTTCTTTTAAGGTAAACCATAAACCTTTAGGCTTTCCATCCTCTGGAATTGGAAGTACCATATCAGGCCTACCAGGTGATTTGATTGCAAGGCTCAGGATCTTAACATCTGGTTCCAGAGTTTCTATACCATCATAAACAACAGAAGAAAATGTCAGGATACAAAGAGCCCCAGTTCATTGAAACTTTTCTTTTTTCCCTTTATCAGATTTTTAAGGGGATTGCAGGTGGGGATGAAACAAGCAAGGACAACCATATTTGTCAATACATAATTCATCTTAAGATTAACTAGCAGCAATTTAGGACTCAAAGAACATTCACTGACAATACATCTGAAAGATCCAACATAATCAGCAGAAAACTGCATAACAAGACACTGAAATTGAATATTTTTTGCAAACAAATTGCAATCCTCAAGTTTCGAAGAACAGAAATGAAAGACAAGAGAAAGAAAACTCAAACCTCCAACGGACTCGAAATCCACAGTCCCAAGAAGTTGTTCCTTCCACCTCCTCAAGCTCTCATCATCCTGAATCCTCGGAAAACAGAGAAGATTACACACAAACGATATTTCAAAAGAAAAGAAAGGTAAGTAGACAACCAATGAAAGAAAAAGAACTGAAATGTTAAGAAAGAGACAAAACCTACCTTGTCCTTTTCCAGTTGTTCTTTAAGGGTGAACTGAGGGCCCAATTCAATCTTCCTATCTTCGTCATCATCTTCATCCTCAGTTGGACAAAGAGAACTCTCGCTTGCTTTCCTAGCGATTGCAGGGCGATGTTCTACAACGTCACCTTCGTTTGGAGGCGTCGTTGGTTCTGTTTTTGTCTCAGAAGCTTCACTATCATCTCTCCCGTCCTTGTCAAACCCCATGCTTTTGGAACTTGAATCCTCACCAACCGCCAAAGACATCAACACCCCATCAACAAAAGAGAGAGCTAATGCAAGACAGAGAGGCTAAACTCACTCACCAAACAGAAGGAAAATATAATAACTAACAAGAGTTGCCCAAAACGCAAAAGAACAGAAAAGAGAAGCCAAAAAGGCCCACTGGGAAGAATCTCAGAAGAAAACAACAAAAAGATGAGGGAACCCCAATAAAGAAAAATAATAGTAGTATTGCTAAAAGATTATATCGGGTCAAAGAATCCCAGAAAGGTTAACAGAAACCAAATATCAAGAAAACCCACCAAAGGAATAGGATAACCCTTCAAACAAGAAAAGAGAGCGAGAGGATAGCAAGAAAGAGAGAGATGGGTTTGTTAAGGAAAGTTCAAACACTTGAGGAAACGGTCATGTGGTAATCCGAGATTATGTATCATGAAACAAAAAATAAAAGAGAGAGGTGGCGGGATCGTGAAGGTCACTCCTGCACTAGCTTCCACGAAGACCACGATTCGAGGAGGCGCTTTTCATTTTAGTTTTCTTATTTAACAGACACACTTGCACACAAGAAACAGATAGAGAGAGAGAGAGAGAGATGGAGACAGCCTAGCTAGCCTAGGATTGGGTGGATGATAGATGCCTTTTGACCTCCTCCCCTGGATACAATGATTGGAATGAAAGGAAAAGGAAATTGAGTGTTCATATATATAGCTAGCCTATGAACCCTTTGCTGTTTTACCTAGGCCATAAGCACCCAGTTTCAGACTTTTTGTTCTTGTAACTCTGAATCAACTTTCTCAGTCTTCCACTGGTCGTTCTGAATTTCATGTACTTTCAACCCTTGAGATAAGTTCGTCAAAAGTCTTTCTATGACATTAAAGTTTTAGAATTCCAGTTCATGTCTGACATGTATTAGTATAGAGACGAGTTTTGCATTAAGGCTAATTCACACACTTAAAAGAGACAATTCCCACAGCTTAAGAGTCTCGATTTCTAGTTGTTAAAGGTGAGGAATGCTGGTATAACCATGGAAATTTATGATTCGGATAGTAATCAACTGTGATTGCATTTAATAATTGATGGACTGATGGGACGAATTCATTTTGGGGAAATTTAAGCCTGTGAAAAGGACCCACAATAATAATTAGGAAAGGCCTGATTCATGGCGGAAATGCTCCTCCATGATGTAATAATTTAATGCATTCTGACTCATAATGCAAATATATCATCAACCAGAATCAATTATGCATGCTTCCAGAACGACCCAATTCATAATGCATAACAAATAGAATATACTTTATGCATGTTTCTTCGATTCTTCTCATTTCTCACCCTTTCCTTTCCTTTTCTGTTTGTGCAATGTATTTTCCTTTTAAATGACCTCATGCATTCAACACCTGCACTGGCAAGGAGGAATCCAAGTTTCAACCGATGAATTCAATGATACAATCTTCAAATCTGCAAGCTTCAACAAATGCCTGTTTGAATTTCATTGGATTCTTCGGCCGAGATGGAGGTGGTTGTGCAATCGTAATAGATATTTTTGAAGAACACAACTAACTTGCTTAAATGTGGTACTGGCATATTTATCCAATGCAACAAGAGATTTTTGAGCTGAACAACTGACTGTCTGACTATATGTTTCCCTCAGCTGAAATTCTGGCTGGTGGAGAAATTAATAACGGTGGTCTACCAGTAGTCCATGTCAAAGTTAAGCATGGTAACCAGGGCATAACAGCAATAGCCTCAATAATCACGCAGTTCTACCTAGGTCTAACAATAAAACATGGGAAATTACAGCTTGAATGATAGCAAAATAACCACCATACCACTCCATCCCGCATTAAGTTCTAAAAGCAACCAAGGGCCCCAGGCTAGAATTTTCATAATAGTGCTGGAATCTAAAACAACTCAGATTCAGAGTTTTGATTTAAGCACACTTACAGATGTTCAGATGCAATGGAGAAAGGAATTAACAGTCAGCAATTCAGTTAGTCAAATAGTAACCCTGCAGAAAGTATGAACTAATTTAATTTTCATACCATGAATCTTGTGAAGACAACCCTCAAGTGTCTATGGCAGGGGGCAAAAATTAAGGGGAGAATTCCAAACTCATTTCAATGTTTACAAACAGACAACATGTTTCTGATTCATTAGCTGTTCAAAATGCTGATGAAAGTTACACTCATTTCCAAAATTCTGTCACTGCAGAGTATAAATATCAGAAACACAGTGAATTCGGTAAAGCGAAGAGACGCATAGATTCTTAATAACCTTTCAACTTCCATCTCATTGATTAACTTTCAAGAAATGAAAAGGTGTTTCTGGATACTGCAATTCAAATGCAATAATCATTGCCACACAAGCCATGTGCAGATCCATGAATTGATGTCCAAACCTGTAAGAAAATTTCAATTGCTTCCCCATTTTTTCAAAACATTCTCTTTAGCAGAAACATAACCATACGTTTCCTTGTTTGACATATTATAAGAATCAGGAGGACCATCTGCATATCTCTTTCTCAGGATTCTTGATGTTACATAAGTTAAACCATTTCTTGTTCCTCGCAAAGCATAAAGCAGTGGATTGAAGATGACAGCCAGCATCAGTTCGCCCTTTGCAATTATAAGATACTGCAAATGCAACAAAGAACAATGTTACATGCCCACCAAAAGCTGAATGGAGTGGCAGGGATAGGTAAAAGTAAACATCATACCATGACAATAATACCCAAAACAGCTAGACTTGTTTGTTGAGCTTCTTGCCAAAAATGGTCATCATTGGACCAACCAAACCTTCCACCCCATCCAAACCAACCTCCACCGCCAGCATCATCCCCACCACCTGCTTCCTCTCTTCTTTTAATTTCTTTGTTCCACTTCTCAAATTCACTCTTCTTTCCCCCAAGTGCACTTTCTAATGCTTTCCTAGCTTGTTCCTGCAGCCAAACACAAGGCAAAGATAAGCCTAATCAGGAAAATGCACATTAAACATGAAAAACAATCATACTTCTATCCAGCAATTACATACACTACCAAACAACAAATAGACTAAATGTACAAATTCATTGACTACTACTAGTTGATAATCGTCACAATCAGGCATTGTGATTATTCATTCTCCTAGTCAAGCTCTCAGCTATCAGCTACAAAATGATAGACACCCAAGTTCCAACCTACCTAACCAAAATCATGAACTAATTTAAAATAAAAACAGGATAAAGGTTGGTAAATGTGCAGAATTCCGGTAGTTTACCTCTCTGCGATTATCCGAGAAAAGGCAAGAAAATCTGCCGTTGCATCTGAGATTCTGCAGCAGGGAGGTCCAGTTTCGGGCAACGTTTTGACTGCGGCCCGCGTTGAGAGAGCGGAAGCCAGGTGATTCGGATCGGGTCGAATACGATGAGCCGAGAGGGTTTAGGTTTAGAACTTGCGCCATGGTTTTCGTATCTCCCGCCGATTACGAAACACCCCCGCCCTTCTATATCCGTCTCTTTTCAATGCCAAAAGCCCAAGCCCAAGCCCAACTGTACTGATCTTGGATTTTCTTCCTTCTTTTCTCCTTATTTGAAAATTGGACGGATGGCTTACACTCCCACCACTTAAAAATAAATAAATAATTAGTAATATTTGATTTGTGAAATTTTTTTACAGGAAAATTAGATAGAAAACATTTATACTATTACTAGCCAAAAATCTATTCTTAGTTATCCAAATAAAAGGATCTTATACTTATTTTTTTATTCCTTATTAGTATAAAAGAGTAAAAGGCAATGGAGAATGGAGGAAAGCGTTTGGTGGCACCCCATGGATTTCAAATTTTTTATTAGTATACAATTATATACATATATATATATTTGTGATAATTAATTTATTTTATTTATAAATGTTTACCACCAAACGTCTACTCGTGCTGCAATGATTTCATCTCCCACTTAAAATATATATTTTTTTAATGAAAGGATTACGTGGTCGAATCAGTTGGGGTGTAAGAGGACTATAGGATAAGAATATTGCACAATATATTCCACATATATTTAGATATTTTGTCATAACAAATATAATACTCTTTCCGCCTGAGTCTCTTTTGTTTATTTTATTTTCCAAAATAAATGTTTGTTTCGATATTTAATATTTTAATATTAGAAATTTGTTTTTATAATTTGTTAATTTTTTCATATTAAAAAGTATTAAGCATCTATATAATAAAAAAATTTAATATAAAACACCTCAAAAATTAAAAAAAATTGTCTTGATTTTCGTAAAAATTAAAGAGATTCCTTCTTAATTTATTTTTCTCTTTTAATTTACATGAAAATTGTCAAATTTGTAATAAAAATATTAAATATCTAAAAAAAATTTGTTTTAAAACCTCTCAAAATGAAATGATTCAGCAAATATGAGGTTAACTTAATGATGATGAAAATGTGGGCATTCCTTGTCACTCCCCACCTTTTGATTGCAACTACATATATATTTATTTATATATACTTATTCCTATCCTGTGTTTGCTTTTATCGTTGTCAAAGTAGGGCTGTTCCCCTATTGAAAATTTACCCCCCCAATTGGAATAAGTATATTCCCATCCTGGGATAATTCTTGGTCGGCAGGGGAACCGGTTCCAGAACAGGAATCAGAACCGTGTTTGGCTGCTTTCTTCTTCTCTCTTCCCTCCCCACCTACCCGCACTTGCATTCCCATACTTTTTCTTCTTTTTGGTTGAATCATTCTTCTCTTGTTTGCATGCTGTAGCCTTTTTCATGCCATTGCATTCGGGAGAAACATCTTTCCATGAATAGAAATATTTACAAATAGTTATGTCACTTAATTATCATATTAAAAAAAATTAAAATTTTATGAAGTTGATTTTATGAAATTTATTACGAACAATTGACATGACTTAATAAAATTTTAATTCATAATAAATGAGTAAAAATTGATTTACATAATTTAATTTGATGATAGTAACCTTTATTTTTTTTAATAATTTAATAAAATTAAATTTAATTCATTAACTCAAAGAAAAAAATCTCGAAAAAGTCACCAACCCTTGTTGAAATCCATCAATATGGGTTACCCATCTTATTTACGCAAAAAATTTAACTCTACACCTAATATTAAGACAAATGCAAATGTAAATCTTTTGTTTTTTAATATTTTTTATTATTAAAAATCAAGTTATTTAATGACTCAGAATCTACAATTAACGAATGAGCTATGTATTATTAACAATGATTATGAATTTATTAAAATTAATAAATAAATAATATCAATGAAGGGATTAATGATTTATTTTTAAGCCTGAATTTTGATTTTATTATTATTACTTTTCGTCGAGAAAAATGTGAATGGTACTGGAAGCAGGATTGGATGGGAAAGTAAGGGCGTCGCCAATTTAATGGATAAAGGATAAACAGAAGAATTCTCAGCCCTTGGATCAGCCGATTTTTGTCTTCCTAGCTCCCCAACAACATTCTACAGTTGTTGACCCAACCCCACTACACTAACTCTTATCGGACGGTACAGGTCAAAAGACAGGAAATAGGAGGAACTCCTCATCTACTTTATTGACCAATATGCCCCGTAACTTCTTTTCCGATGTAACCCACCTGAGAAAGCAAAAGGTCTGGATTGGACTTCAGGGTAATATGGTAATTTGGCTGGACAATCCCAGTTCTGTTCTGTCCTAAAGAACAAGACAGTTCCATCTGAGTTCAACTTTATTTTTTTAAAAGGATTTTTCATCTTTATCCTTTTGTCCTAACTTTTTTCCTTTAATTTAAAAAATCAGATACCACCTGCAACATCAGGAGAAGTTACAGGTTTGCCCTTGATTCACCTTGGCGTTAACCGTTTGAATCAGGAATAAACAAAGGTCAGCCTAGTCATTCCATGGTATTTTAAAGCGAGGGAAAGAGGAAAAGAAAGGGAGCAATTTGCGGAAGTACATTTCTACCCCAACCACCTTCACCTCGAGCGGATACAATCAGGGCACAAGCGTCTTTTCAAAATGAATTTAAACAAAGGTGAAGCAATAGGGACGTTTTCGTCATTTAATGAATATAAAGAGAGAGCCGTAGAGAGAGAAAGAGAGAGAAGGGAAGAGAGAGAGAGAGAGACAGAGCGCAGAGAGAGAGAGAGAGAGAGAGAGAAAGAGAGAAACGTTTCTTTGTGTGTCCGTTTTTTCAGTTAGTATTATATGAAGGAGGAAGCATGGTGTCTGACCAAGAAATAGCAAGAGGGGTGGAGACTCTGCTCCGGCAGTCGGACCCGAACGCCACCACCACGTTAAACGGTGTCGTTCAGCAGCTGGAAGCGAAGCTAGGGCTCGACCTCTCCCATAAAGCTGGCTTCATCAGGGACCAGATCAACCTCCTTCGCCCTCCCCAACCCCAGGCTCAACCCCCTCCGAAGGACCATTTTACCCTCCAACATCATCCACAATTCCATTCGCATCAACACCAACAATTTCCTCTCCATTTTGCCCTCCAACATCACTCACAATTCCCTTCCCACGACCTCAACTTCGGCCAGCACGCTCCGCCGCCTCAACCGCAGCCGCAGGCTCCGCTTACGGCTCTACCACCGCCGCAGGTTCAGTCCCAACTGCAGCAGCAACAGCAACAGCAACAGCTGCCGCTGCAGCCGCAGCCGGCTGTCACGAAAGCCGAAGTCTTCCCCCAAAATGCAGCTCCCGTTGCCACCTCAGAAGTGCCTAAAGAAAGGTTTGCCATCTTTTTTTCTTCGTCCTATTTTTGCTGCAAGTTCTTGGTTTAGACCTTTTTCCTTTTTGGATTTGGGGGTGGGGGGGTGTTGTGCAAGAAATGAGGTTCATTTTTAGGGTTTTGTAAATATGATTTTGAGGGTTAGACCATTTATCCTCTTGTTGCAAAGGGTTAGGCCTTCTTCTACACGTTTTGTGCAATTGAAGTTGGGGTTTTCCTGCCTAAGTGTTTGGAGATGTGAAGGTAGGGTTTTTAGTGTAACTTTTTTTCCTCTTACGAACTGAGGGCTGCTTTTTCCTCGTTTTGACAAAATTTACGATTTCTGGTTTGGTTGAAGCTGTAAATGGCATGGATTGATACCTAGTTCACTAATAAATTTGTTCTCAAATTAAAAAAAAATCCTATCATTAATATTTTATTTTGGAATTTCTTTCTTGTGAGAAGGTTCATAATTATGTAGCTGCTTTGAAGTTGTATTTTTTTGGCTACGGAAAATTTTTGGTATGGGCAGTTTATAATGATAATAAGTTGTTCAACTCTGACATCCTTTGAGAAAAGTTTTAATTTCTGCTCTTCATTGTGAATAAAACTATGACAGTCATGGATATGTTCCAAGTTTTCACCAATTCTATTACTAGTTCACAGTGCTGAGTGAGTGCATGTTAGGAAACGAAGCTTCAAAATAATTTAATTGCTGGCTTTTTTCCTCTTAATTTTTTAGCAGAGAGTCATCATTTTTGAATTTAAATTCTTTTGGATTTAGCTAAGCTGAGCTAATTTGAATATCAGGTCAGTTGTTAGCTATGTTCTTTGCCGCTGATAAGTTAGTGTATTAGTGTGCAGTACCTATGCAGACATATATTGCTTTTATTGGATTTATAGTCAGCTTTACTAATATTCTATGCATCATGATGAGAATTTGACTATAGGTTTCAAATGTTTTATCATGTTGTAGAACGGGGATTATAAGCTTCATTCGATGACCTAAGTATTTGTCTGTTTATAATGTTATTGCAGTGCTCCAGTTGGAGCCAAAAGAAGAGGTGGGCCAGGGGGACTGAACAAAGTTTGTAGTGTTTCACCAGCACTTCAAGCCATAGTTGGTGAGCCAGCTTTACCAAGGACTGAGGTTGGTTTCCCCAGATTAACCTAGATTGCAGTAATTTTTTTTAGTCAGCAGCGTTCTAAAGTAAGTTTTCGTTTCTGGGTATTGCTATTCTAAACTATATGCTCTGTTTGATTTAGATTGTCAAGCAGCTGTGGGCATATATAAGGAAGAATAGCCTCCAAGATCCAAGTAACAAGAGAAAAATAATTTGTGATGAGGCCTTGCGCTTGGTGTTTGAGACAGACTGCACTGACATGTTCAAGATGAACAAACTGCTAGCAAAACATATTACCCCACTTGAGCCTTCAAGTACTTTATAATACAATATGTGCAATATATGTTTGTTCTGTGATGACTTGGATTTGATGCTTTCTTCATTTCAATTGGTTAATAATCTTGCTAATCCTTGCAGAGGAGTCAAGTCAAACTAAACGAGTGAAAGTAGATGTTGAGTCCACAACTGAAAGTGTTGAACCAGGTCCGAACCCTGTAATAATATCTGAAGCGCTTGCCAAGTTTTTGGGTGCTGGAGGAAGGGAGATGCTAGCAACGGAGGCTGAAAGAAGGGTTTGGGAGTACATAAAGGTTAATCGTTTGGAGGTGGGTGGCTGGTCCAAAAGTTTGTGCAACTGTTTCCATTAAACTTTAGGTTTACTTTAGTAGCTTAAATACTTTGTCTTTGCTCTCCGGTTTTTGTACTATTATTGTGATTGACATGTTTTCTTCTTATGTTTCGACCACCCTCTTTCCCACTGATAGAGGTTGTTTAGCTCAGATTTAGGAGTTTCTTCTGTTTTTCAGAATTATTTGTGGTTTTATTATATTAGCTTGTTTTATTTTATTGTGGCTATACTGGTAGACCATGAATAATTCAAATGTAGTGGAACAAATAGATGGTATTAATCTTCTAGGAGCTTTTGATTGTTTCAGGATCCATTAAATTCAATGGTGGTACTGTGTGATGCTAAGCTTCGTGAGCTTCTTGGATGTGAAAGCATATCTGTGATGGGGATACGTGACACACTACTACGTCATCATTTATTTAAGCACTCCTGAGATCTTGTAGTGTTGACTGGTCAGTATAAATGCTTCAATTAAGTTTCTTTTTATATGTGCACATGCTTGCATGAATGCATCTAAATTGACCCCAAGATCTTAGGATTCTTTCTTCTCCACCTTACTACTTGTCCTTATCATTTGCTTGTCTTTTGTTATGACGTCTGGTTTCACTTTCCTGGTTTCATTTTATTGCATGATGCTGCCTTGTTATTATTTTTGTTATCTTGATTAGATGAACCCAGTTATCGGGTAGGCAAAGTTTGTTGGTTACCATTTGAGTGACTAAGAGTCAGTCATGAGGTCTTTAGTTAATTTGACATTTCTCATTTGTGAGTTTCTGTTGATTTGTCTGATGCTCTGATGTTCTGATTTAAATATGGGATTTGTGAGTTTGTTTGTTTCTGGAACTCCTTTTATTAAATTGTTTTTATGCAAGCCCTTATGCCATCTCTCTCTCATTTCTATTTATCTGTCCTTATATGTTAATTTGGACTTTCACATCAGTCAGTAGGTTCTTATGTAAGGTCTTCTCTATGCTTTTAATAAGAATGGCTCTATCTTGTTTCTTGCAGGGGCATGGGACCTTGGTCATATGGTTGTCTCTCATGGTAGAACAGATAGTGAAGACCTTTCTCTTTTCTACTTGTTCTTTTATGTTTTTTGTGCATTGACTTCTTTAGATGAGAAGCTTTACACTAGTTGCTTGTTTATGGTCCGAATGAAAATGTAGAATGGGCCCAATGGCAAGGATATTTTGTAGTTATGCCATTTGCCCGGATCTAGGTGTACTTGTTTATTTTGTTGTAGACCGGTCTTTCCAATGCTAACCTCAAACTGAACTGAAGGAAGTCGTAATGGAAATATAAGTTGTTTTAACTTCTCAAGTTTATGCATCTCAGTTACATGGTTTGGAATGTTGGAGAGAGTTTATAATGCAATTCAATTACAAAATTCTTGCCCATAAAAGCACGTTAGAGAACAATTGAATGATAGCCAAAGAAGAATAAGAAGCATCATCGGGACCTCTGTATTGGGGATCTAATACAGCTTTGAGAAAAGCAGAATAGCAGATATAAACAATAGACCTAGTAACGCACAGAGGGCTTTCTTTTTCCAGGCTTTGGATGATACGCCAAAGCTTATCTTGTCCACCATGGTCGTCAGATATCCGATTGTTTTCTGCAGAAAAATGATTGGTCGATTCTAAGTGTCAAAAATGTCTACTCAGCTAACATTTAACATCCTGAAAATATGGAAGAAAACTTGAGAGATCACTTACTAGCCTTAAAGGCTCCACATGAAGGAGTGGTTCCATGAACATTTCCACATTCCTGAAATATTTGCCCAGATGTTAGCATTACGAAAGGACCAAGAGAAAATGTGAAAGGTGAACGTTTAGCACTAGTCGAGTGCGTATTTGGCCTTAGCTTGTGGTGATGCTTTACCTTATCACCACTCTTCCATGGTAGATTTGGCAAGTGTAGAAGCTGAAACCCTTTCCCAAAGGCATATGAGCTTTATTCCACTCTGCAGATAAGGCAGATGAGAAAATTTTTTGACTCAAAAACTCTGCTAGGAATCTTCCGTTAAGACCATATTTGATTGGAATGTTGGTAGGAAGGGCAAACCTAATCTCCAATGGATACCAACAACCATCCCATCATGTAATGTTGGTTGCACCACAAACTCGATGTGATCTCCCAAAAACTTGATCAAAGATGCAAAAAATTCAAGCACTTGCTGCCAACAGGAAATACTACCTATGGTAAGGTTTCGATGGTATGTTTAACATGTATAAAAGCTTCCAGGAAATCAAGTCTTGAACTACCTACGATTGCTTTAAAGAAAGTTTAAGCTGCATGCATGTACGTACCTCTTTTCCTTGTAAAGGTTGGAAAGATGAGAAGAAATTGCAGATGCATTGGCATTCATCGTCAATGATATCAGATAGCTCGCGTACGTTTTGGTTCTTGATCGCCGAGTAAAGCTTGAGAACTGTTTCCAGGGCTCCCGAATCTTCCTCTGCTCCTGAATCTGAACTCTTTGTCTTGGCATCTAGTGGCACTACAGACAGGCCTCTCCTCCGTGTAGGATAAGTCGCCGGAATCAGGGATCGCTTTACATGTCGGGACTGAAACTTGCCAGAAACAAAAGTTATTACGCGAAGATTCTGATGAAGGGAAGGTTGATGGTGAATTCTTTCTTGGGAAATGAGTAGAACTGGGTTTGAAGTTGCTGCCTGGTGGTTGTATACAGGAGTAGGAAGAGAGACTGAACCCATCTTGGAGGTTTGATCGATGACTACAAGATCGAAGCTCAAGCAGGAAAAGAAGGTTTTATTATAGGAAAATGGCTGACATAAGGAAAGCAAGCTCTGCCTAAGAAAAGAATGAAACAACAGCATTTGCAAGTTAAGGATCTTCTTTGCAAGTTGCTGAACTCATGCAACAGGCTGAACAACTTTAACTACACATGTATTCCTGTAAATTTCATTAAAGAGGATAGTTTGGGTAAAGAGATCAAATGTGTCGGGGCGAATTGTATATTTTCTAAAAGTTTGGGCACAATTGTAAATATATTATTCTTTGCCGGTAAAATAGAATAACTAAAAATTTAGCGGGACGAATCAAAACGAAAGGAACATACAAGCGATACGACAGTCGTGAAACTAGGGAGAAAACAGAAGCCCAAAAGTGTTGTTTTCCTTTGGAGGAGCAAAGATCAGAGTAGAATCCAGCGATGGCGGAAGATCTGGTGCTAGACACGGCGATCAGAGATTGGGTGCTGATTCCTCTATCAGTGGTGATGGTCCTCATCGGCATCCTCCGCTACTTTGTCTCCAAGCTCATGCGCTCCTCGCAAGTTCCCGATCCTAAGATCGTCAAAGAAGGGCACGTCTCCTACAACTCTATTTTCTTTTTAAATTTGATGAATAGAAATTAGGTCTCTGATTCACTGATTTTCGATTTTCTACTTTGCAGGCAAGTAATTGTTAGGGCTCGGAATTTGCGAGCTGGCGCTAATTTCATCCCTCCCAAGTCGTTTCGCTCTCGTAGGGTTTATTTCAACAACGAGGTTTGCCTTTCCTTCTTTGTTTAAATTTTTTATTTGTAAAATTGAAAATTATCGGTATTCAAATTTGTAGATTTTGATTATGGGAGAGCTTCTTATGCTAATTGAGTTTGTTGTTCGAGCTTAATCTTTGCATTTTATTCAAGTTGTGATCAAGCTTCCCTAAATTTAGTTCTTTTGCTGTAATCAAATTGGAATTAGTCAAGATGCTGTGGTTGTAGCTAACGTTACTGAGTTAAGAATTAGAAAAAGGAGAAATTTAAGGTAAGTTTTGTTGTACTGTGGTAGGAAAATGGATTGCTGTTTGTTCCCAAGGGCCAGGCTCAAAATGCGCAGGCACAAATGTTCTCTGACCCTAACATGGCTATGGACATGATGAAGAAAAACCTCTCAATGATTATACCTCAGGTATTTTTTATGGTGCATGGACACCGTTAGTGTTCTTATGCTTCAGTGTGATTGCTCATGTTAGAGAAACTGACTGTTTTGGATAAACTTATGGTTGCTGTCAGACTCTCACTTTTGCATGGGTCAACTTTTTCTTCTCTGGATTTGTTGCAGGTCTGGTTCTTTAACTCTATTTTAGTTCCAAGATTTCTTAGTTTTTCCTTTTTAATGCTACATTTGAAACTTTGAACTTGCAAGTTCATTTACAAAAGTTACCTTCTCCTGTTACTAATCAGATTGGCTTTGTTGGTGATGGACACATTCTTTTGTTGTGTGGGACCCAAATTCTAACTTAATTGATCATGTTGGTGTTATTAGGATTATTGGTAATGTGATTTCCTGTTCTATTTTGCTGTCTTCCTCTCTTGCAGCCAAAATACCCTTCCCATTGACCCAGAGGTTCAGAACAATGTTGCAGAATGGTATTGACCTTAGCACAGTTGATGTGAGCTATGTTAGTAGCCGCTCATGGTACTGGTCTAATTTTGTATATAATAAGCTTTCATATTTGATTTTATTAATGTCTTTTTTCTTCTCTGACCTCTTTTATTTTTGAGGGACTTTCTTGGCTTATTACTGCCAACTATTGACAAATTCTTTTATTTCCAGGTATTTCCTCAATTTGTTTGGTTTGAGGGGTTTATTTAGTTTGATTCTAGGAGAGGAAAATGGTTAGTATTGGATCATGAACTTCCTGTTATGTTTTTTATTATATTGCAATCCGCAAAGTTAATTGCTTCTTTCAAAATAACAACACTGCAAGGCTTATATACAGTTCCGCTGGTTCTTTGATTTATCATGTATTTGCTGTCCTTAATCATGTGAAATTATGATTTTTTTTTTGCAGCAACGGATGATACGCAGCGTATGATGCAGATGAGTGGATTTGGCTTTGATCCAACAAAGGTATTGATTCAATCTGTTCTCAGTTTACTGTTTCATGCTTAAGAAGTTTCAGGCGTCTAATTTAATTTCACATCAGCCTGTTCTTTATCTCTTTAATGGTGATTATTTTCCCTAAGTAGCATAAGTAGGAAGCAGTTAAGGTTAATTTATTTCATTTGAGAGACTTATATTATTAACAAATTTGTCTTATGCTAATTTGAAGTTCTTTTTGCAATTATCTAAGTAGATTCCTTAGGGTTCTCTCAGTAGATAAGCATTGGGATAACACCCTAAAGGGTATTGAGTAGGCAATGTAGTACTTATAGGCTGCAGCCCTAGAGACCGAGTGCTCTGCTTTCCAGAGATTCCTTGTGCTTAGAACTTAATTGGTCGATTGTTTGATTACGATTGAGGTTGGGGTGGCATTACTAGCTTGTCAATTAAAAATTGCCGGGGGGGGGGGGGGGGGGGGGGGAGATTTTGGAATGGGCATTCCATTCCCCAAGGATGGACCCAACACTGCCACCATCAGTACCACGCCCACACATTTTTGTTCTTCTAATGTGGCTGCTGTCTGGGCTGCCAGAGTCAAATAGGTTTTCCTTGATTTGTATGTGGGGACTCTTAATCATTTCTAAGTTTAATTCCTTGATTAAAAATTTATGTTTGCCTTTTCCTTTTTGAGGCATTATTATGAGTAACCGACTTTTGAGGCAAGGGCTTAGTTTTTCTCCAAACTTTAGAAACCTCCCATGCTTTTGGGGTTTGACATTTACGTGCTGAGAATCCTTGGGATTGGAATTTCAGCTGATGCTTTTCCTCACTTTCACCTGGGGGTGTCCCCCTCCCCTTTTGCTTTGCTATTGGATTAAATTAATCACAAAAATGATAAGAATTGAATGCACCTTTTAGTTCAATGAAGATCAACAAACATCACTGTAAGACATGTCTTTTTATTTGCTTGATATATGGTTTACATGTTCAAAATACCTTGTAAAGAAATTACAAGATTAGGCTCATTCGAGGGTTTACGATTTTCATTTCTTAACCTCGCATGCCACCTAACCCTTTGGATTTCCCTTCTTATCAGAGCCTGGGTGCAGAGAAAGACGGTCTTGACATAGTCCAACATGAGTGGGCACTCCCTAAATTTGAGCATCGGGCTGAAGCAGTGTTGAAAAAACTCATCAGGTGAACATCAGGAGCATATAAACAGCTGTCAAAAGGGATCGTCCGCAGGTGCTTCAACTGAAGTTTCCAACCCATGTTAGTTGAGTCCTGCCTTGACAAACTTGCTGAACTCTAAAAGATGACAAACCTGTAGAACCATGTTTAGCGTTTTAGCTTACGTTCCAACTCTCCGAGAATCAAGTAGAAAATTTGCACCTTCCTAATTTTTATGGCTTATTATTGATGTCGAATCTTTCTTTATCGAACCTAGCGAAGGATGACTTAGTTTTCAACTCAGTTGTTTCGAAGAGGGACCATTGATTGGATCATTATTTCCCTACAGTCCGGGGTCTTATAATGCATTTTGGCGCCTGTGATTTTTGATTATTTTCTCGATTTTTTGGGAAAATTATAACTGATGATCATCATATTGTCTGAGACTCTGAAACATTATTGCCTTCGGCTTGACTTTTACCGGTGGCCCGAAACCTCGGATACTTTCATACCTCGATGGCCCATGTCCTGTCGAGAGGCTCACTTCAATGACGGCAGAGGCCTTTCAAGTGGACCAACTTGATTGCAAGATTTGAGCAAAAAGCCGGAAAAATGGAAAAGGTGGGGTTTGCCAGAAAAGAGAAGGAATCACAAAGGGGCAGGTAATCTGTCAAAAAGGCAAAGTTGGCCATAATCCCTTTTCCCCTGGGCCATTACACAGCCGGCAAATCTGGTTTTGAAACTTTGCTTAATTCAAAAAAGGCAAAGGGCTAAGCAAGCAGCCTGTAACTTTGGGCACCAATGACGGCCACAGGGGGGTTCGGCTGCGTGTTGTTGTTCAAAGGGACACCGTTTTTGAATCATAACAAGAATCTCGAAGAAAACTATAAAACAAAGCCCTTGGGCTTCACCCATGGACCCCATGAAAACAATGGAATATCATCATCAAATACCCTGTTTCAAAGATCAACAGATCAGTAAATGAATCGGTAACATGTAAAACCAAACACTAGGGGTCTAGGACCCGAGGTTGTCCCAGCATGGAACAGCACATGGTACCCTGTTCCAATCTGTACACCAGCCCAAACACTTTGGTGGGTCCTTTTGATTTTCAGGGGGGCCCATCCTCCTCACCGTCATAACGCATTACCATCGTCTTCCCTCACTTTTTACAGGGTAAATTTGCACTATTTGTACCATAATGGTAAAAGATTTTTGCAAAACCAATCCTGTCTTCCCACAAAACTAGCTGGACAAGAACAGTGATTCCTCGCACGAATCTGGATGCATCACCGTCATTATCATCTTCATTTACGTCCAAAATTTAAGTTAATATGGAGATCCACAATGAATTATAGTACTCTTGTAGTACTATAATTCAAAGAAATGAGGTGGGGTGGGGGGGCAGTGGGTGGTGGCTTTATACGAGGACGTAGATCGGAGGGATGACAGTGATCCTGCGTGGCAAATCAGACGGCCCAAGAAGTGGGCCCGTGGTCACGAGAGTCCGACCTGGAAAGCATCAATCATGGGGCCTACTTACCAAGTGCGGGTGGCGGTTGTCAAAAGGGGAGGGGGGTGAATCATGGGTTGGAATAGCAGGCCACGGCAGCAATATTTTCAATGGAAGAGTGGGGTCACTTTCGTTCTTACGGGCAATGATCGCAGTTTGGCGTGGGTTGGGTCCCCCTGGCTTTTAGCTCGCACCGTCCTATAACTCTCTGGTTTCTTGTTTTTGGCTCACGTCCACACCACCATCAATCAGCATCATTTATCAGAAATGTGGAAGGTGAAAATAAAGTAAAAAAACAAAAAACCTTAAAATTAGCTAAAAACTGTTTGACCCCAACAGTGAAACCGGTCCTGTTTTTTACACCCACAATTATACCAATACAATCTTATAGATTTGATCGAAACCCAATTCCATTATTGTGTATAGCAATAAGGGTGGCAATTCAATCTCTTCTTTTTTGGTCCACCAAATATTAGTATCAATTTTCTTTGTCTACTTAATCATTTAGTTTACGAATCAGACTACAATTCATTTGTTTGTTGTACAATGGTCGGTTTGTGCTTACGAAGCTATGACTATTGAACATAAAATAAGGCAATAAATATCTTCCAATTGGCTTTTGATGCACTCAAGATGTTAAATCGAATTTATGAAAGTTCAATTTTTTTAATATATATTCTCTTCATTTTTAAATATTTGTTTTACGGGAGAAAAAACTAGAAAAAAGAATACGTAAATGTGTAAATAATAATTAATTTATGAAGGGGTATTTGTCTTTTAAGTTTGCAAAAGCTTTTATATGTATTTGTATAATAATAGGTATATATTATGGCATTTTAAGTAAAGCTAAATGCTCTCAAGACCCCAAGAAACTAAAGCAAAAGAAATGGCAATGCCTCATAAGAGAACATGAAAGCATGATATAGTCACACAGAGAGACCCACTCAAAAGAAAGATATGATGCTGATACAAAGAAATGGCCTCCACCATTTTGCCATTTGCCAAGTCATTGTTTTTATGTATATAATTCTATCTTAAATTATACCCAATAGTCTTATCTAATTTATTACTTTATCAAAGAAACAAAAGAAGGGCAGAAACATTTACAACTAGACAATGGCTATGTCCTGTGTGCCAGTGACATGAGACGCCAGATTGCCCAAGATTCTTTCAAATGCTCCCATCACCCTATTCATCTCTCTCTCTCTTTCCTCCAATTCTTTAATGGAAAAGCCAGGCATTCTCGTCTCTATATATAGCTCTCACATTCATCATCTTTTCACTACTACTCTTTGCTCATTGATCTCTAGCTATTCATTTCTTCTTTCCAATATATTCTGTGTTTCGAAGTTTCCCCTTGCAATATTTCTTTTTGCTTCCCAAATGGCCAGTGTTGAGGTAATCAAGCTAAACATTTTTGGGTTTATATTGATCTTTCTTTTCTGTTTTTTGATCCCGTTTGCATGGATAATCTTATGATAGATCATTAAATGGTGCAATGTGCGATTAAGGTTGTTGTTTTGGTTATATAGAATCCTATCTGATCTCGCTTGAACCAGATGGATCAACCCTTCAGCCCTGATGGGGTTGATCGTATCTGGTTGTTCTAGAGCATGCTCAACGGTATAGAGTCCATCTTGGGCTTTTTGCCGAAGCTTTGAGCAGATTTTCAGATTTCGTTATTGTAGTTTTGTGATGTTAATCAATCTAGCCGAAGTTCTTTCATAAGGTTGCAAGCACAACTTGTGATGCCTGCCTGATGGCGATCATCATTCTTCTCTTGTAGTTGATTATCAGTGATCTCATTTTCGTCCTTCGACAACTTTATCACTGATCATACTTGTGCTACAAGGTGATAGCGCCTTGAGCATGCTGACCGGGCAGGAGCCTATGTATCTTTCACTAGCTAGCTTCTGAATCCTTTTCCCTAATGTTCTGTAACGAAACAAAACTAAATGCTGATCAACTTAGGTAGATAATATTGATTTCAATGATCGACTCAAAATTTTCATTCCGGACTAAAATGGTTTGTTTGGGCCTTCCAGGTTCAGCCAGCTGCAGCACCATTGCCAGAGAAGGAGACAGCAGAGGTGAGCAAGGTTGAGGAGACACCCAAAGAGGAGGCAGCAGCTGCAGTACCTGTGGCTGAGTCAGTAAGCGCCGAAGCAGCAGCTGCGGAAACAACATCCGATGCCCCTGCTGCAGAGGAAACCGAAGCTCCCAACGCTGAAGCTCCGGTGGCTGAAGCTGATACCAAAGAAGTTGTAGAAGAAGCCAAGGTTGAGGAATTAGAGAAGCCAGCCGCAGAGGAGAGAAAGGAAGAGACCACGGAGGTGAAGACAGAAGCAGTTGCGGAGGAGGCCAAGGTGGAGGAGACCCCAGAGCCCACCGCGCAAGCACCTGCAGTAGAGGAGGAGAAACCAGCTAAGGAAGAGAAGGCAGCTGAAAAGGAAGAGGAAGCCAGCACCGAAGTTCCTGTTGGGAAGGCTGAGGAATAGAGCTACTGTACGGAGAGAAGGTGGCATAGTTTTAAGGCTGAGGGGCTTCTTTATTAGGTTTGCATGTTTACTAGAGCTATGGAGGATGTGGATGAGGAGTTTATTTCTTTCTTTCCTTTGGGGTTTGATATAAAAAACTTGGGGCCATAGCAGGTGGATCGATCTATGGGTTTTACATTTGGGAGGAAGTTGCCTTGAAGGGTATGGAATATGTCTTTGTTTGGGTTGCAAGAAAAGAGTCAAGATGAGTCTGGTATTGGGTGTGATGAGATGTGATCTCTATATTTGCATAATAAAAATATTATATTTATATTTTCGTTTGACCCCATATGAGTTATAAATTCTTCTTTTGCTTCCCTAAAGAGAATTTCTCGTTCGCCTTGGCAATTAGTACATTAAGGACCGGCCTCCCCATTTTATGCTCAAAAAAGCTTCCTACTATTCAATCTGGGTTCGAGTTTATGCATCTTGATATCATCATCAAGGGATTCCAATTTGTTGAGCTTGCCATTGATTAGTCTTATTCGTCACAAATGTATTCAAACATCTCAAGTCCCCATTAACCTTTATCAGAAAGCTAAATCCGATGCCACATCATAGAACAATTACTTTCATTTTTTATAACTATTGTGTTATACGATATTAATAACTATGATATTACTCAAGGGTGAGCAAAGCAAGTAACAATGTTTAACTCTTTATAAGATGTTTGCCAATCACGATCCTTTCGTATGACAGATTTCAATCTCATCACCATGAAGATTTCAACATTAGTCCGAGTTCTAAATAATCTAAGATATATGTGACAAAGAAAGAAAAAAAATTTCTGAGACATGCAAATTTAGACTATTTAAGAGGCTTTCTGTGAGTCTAGACTCTAGATGTCATTGCACAACTGTATAAATACAAGAAAGCTGCCTGAAGCTGATGCCCAGCAAAGTCCATACGGAAGTGAGCAATTCTTCCATCTTGCCCCCTGCCTTATTTATGCTATACACCTATATAAACAGTTAATTCCAGAGGAGAAACAGATAAAAAAGGCAATGACATCTCATGAAGGAAAGACAATTAGCTACATCACCTTCTTACATAGTCTAATGATAAAGCAAGGCTATAACCTGTACAAGCTTAGTACAATTTTTTTTTTTCTATGTGCATTCAAAAACCCTTTTCCATCCCAAATGCAAATGTAAACCAATGTTTTTACCACGTACCGAAGCTGCAACCAACATGTTCCTGAGAAATAACTCTAAGACGTTTTTGCATTTCAGACAAGGAGGGATATGGTGGGAAACACAACCGATAAAAGCAGGTATGAGATGAAGGAAGACGCTCATGGGGCTCCGAGGACTTGTAAATATAAAGCCGAGAGGCTAAACCACGGAAACCTTCAACTGGAAGATACTTTACAGAGGTCCAGAAGAAAAGAAGCACCTTTCTCTGCTCCGCTGACATTTCCCGAACAATCTGCAACATTTTTGAACATGAGAGAGTACATTATTGAGGGAAGAAAAGTAAAAACCTATAGGTTCATAGAACTAAGTGACAAGACAACCATAGCTATTGCACATGTCCCACTTCATCCCCACGCTTTTATCTATTGCCATACTATTAATTATGGTTGATGTCAAAGCCTGAAAAATCAGATAATAGTAAAGTACTAAAGAAATCATCTAACAACAGTTTCATCACTGCTTTAACCTCATTTAATATTATCAGGATCATTTTTCACAGCTGAAAATTATGCACCAAAACTACTTCTTGGGCACTATTAGTCAGGATTAATAAACAATCCTGTAAGTCCATACCTCCCAGAACCAGGTTATTTGAGGATCATTTTCTCTGTAGCCATTATACTCAGTATGTGCCTTCCAGTCTTCAATGGAAATGGGACTTTCGCTTCCATATAGCATCCAATCAAGGTCCTCGAGCTCTAAACTTTGGAAAAAGAACTTCTGGAGCCTTGAGTTAGAAAGAATATGGCTGAAACCTTGGGCAAAATGGTATACCTGTTCAGAAATAGATGTTACAAAGCGATCCCGAATAAGAAGATTAACATATTCCTGCCTATTCCTGCTATTTACAACAATGCTTTTCCCACCAGGGCAGAGCTCCATAATTCTCCTGGATCCTAACTCCTCAATTTCTCTAACAAATGTCAGTCCTAAAGCATCTGAATCAATAAACTCAGCATCCATCTCCAGAATCTTCTTGCAGCTGCTATACAAGCATGGATCTGCCTCTCTTATATCTTCCAAAGATATATGCATTCCAGCCAATTGTAAGAAAAACACACGATCAAAGACAACACCAACTTGCACTTTATGCATCAATGCCAAAGCAATCACACGTCCGGCGAAACTGAAATACTCAAGATGCAAAGGATCCACCCTAGATGCTGCATATAGAAAAACACATAAGCAACATATACCCTGGATCACAGTAAAGGAGGAAATCATCATAAGGTATTATATGGTCTTCGCAGACTATGCTTTTAAAATATAAAATAATAATAAGAATTCAACTTTTTAATGGGAAACAAGCAGCAAACAGAACTGGGTTTCAGTCACAATGCCCAAAAAATTAAATCAATATCTTGATGCCATCAGTATTATCAAGATTGGAAATAAGTCATAGGCCTCATTTAACAAAAGAGCAAGTATAGAAAGAAACATGCGCCAAAAGAAAAAAGAGTTTAGTGCAAAATTCAGGCATGCTTTGAACTCCTCAACACTTAATCGGATTATCAGAGTATCTCTTTACATCATTTAAGAAAGACTACAAAGCACAGTACGCACCTACAAGAGGCAATTCGAGGAATTTGGATAACATCACATATCTAATGTATAAATAGTTCTCACGACTAGATTTTAATGTCTCTATCAAAGCATCAATAATTTCACTTGTTTTTACATTCTGCAAAGCAAATTTTTGGATGCACTATTTCCGTGTTTCAAGGCATATCATTTCACATGGGTTACTACTTGTGCTTTCAATCATACTAGAGCCAGCTCATAATATAACCAGTACTAGCTGCAAAAGGCAGTCCTCCAACTTTAGAACTAACACAAGCTCTGCTTCAAGAATCTTACCTTCCACTACCTCAAACCGTGTTTATAAAAGAAACAAGGGAACACTCACATACCGAAAAGTGACAAATATAGTGAGCAGGAAAAAGTCTTAGTAAAAATTTTTCTCACTTATCAAGCCCTCTAAACTTCATTCTGTTCATATTCTATATCAAACATCTAAAATGCCCAAACTCTAAACAAATCTAATAACTACATCAGAAACATATTAATTATTGCTTGTAATATTATTTCACAATGAGCTTTGAGAAATCCTATCTCTCTTGCACAACAAGGACTAAGAAATATATCATCTCGAAGCAGGATGGCAATTAGAGGTTTGGAAGTTCAGAGGAAACTTACCTGGATTAGGAAAAAATCTTCTACGGTCATTTGAGCAAGGCACAAAAAGAGCATTCTCTGGATTGAATATAGCTTGGCATACCAAGAAAAACCACTCCCTCAGTACACCAGGGCCAGTAGCTTCTTCATTTTTAAATTCCATAAATAGACCAGCATGTAGTGATTCAGGCTCGGCACGAGCAATGTATTCAAATGATTCTGCCAACAACTGAGACCTGTCAATGAGCATCTCATGCAATTCCTCATAATCTTCTTTTACCTCTGGAAACATCATCATTGCCAAATGCCTCCTAGATTCAAAATCAGTGACATCCTTATGCTCAAGTAACCATCGATTATCATCAGCTCGCCTTGCAAAGCTAATAATTAAAGAACACAATGATGACTTCCTATTCCTCAAAACCATCCAAAACTGCTCTTCAGCACCCTCGTAAAGTTTTGAGATGCCATTGAGTTCCTTCAAAATGGCAAGATACTGAGACGACCCGGAATGAACAACTCCACCATCCCTGCTTCCTCTCGCAGCAAAGTTTTCCTCCATTCTAATAAGGCATTTTTCCATTTTGGCCAACAAATCATTAAATATAGCATGAAGAAACTCAATCTCCTCCCCATAGGGAGGAAGGTTGTAATCCTTCTTTTTCCAGTCAACGGATATCGGAATACGAAACCCCACTTGCTCCAAAATAGCAGACCGCAAAGGGTTTAAGAATGCTGTGAAATCCCTGACATCACTTGATGATGGTCCCCCACTAGTGGTAGAATCTACACTAGAATCCAAATCCTTAGATAACTTATCAGCCAACTCACTAACAAAGGGGAAAATCTCTTGCATGACAATCGACCCTTTAACCTCTTGCAGCACTAAACCCCTGGAACTGCCAACAGTTTCCAACAACAACCCGAGTGTACTCCGGCATGACGCATACAAACTATCGTCGTTAACAACCTTCCTAAGTAACTTGCAAAACTCTAATACTATTGGTGCACAATAAGAATGCAACTGTTTTGATAATGCAGTCCGACACGAATTTAAGAAATGTCTTATTGAAGTATCAGCACACTGCTTATTACCATTAATCGGAGACATATAAAGCATTACCAAAGCAGCAGGAGCCGAAGATGCCATAAATATGTGCAAGTGAGCAGGAGCGGAGTCGTTGTTGTCCTTTGGAGTAATTGTGAAGAACTTGATCAAGCAATCTTTAATGCGTTTGGTTGAGGAAGGGACAGATTCGCCTCGGCAAAGGCGGCAAACGACCGAGATCATGTCATCCATGACCTGCCAGGTCTGTGGGTGTTCCGTCGATCGCATACGGCCAACGAGTTGTAGTCCGGCGTCATTTTGGATGGCGCAATCGGCTAGGGATTGCTCCCACTGAAGCTGTTTCCCGCGATAAATTAGGCGCTGCTCGATCACTGGAATTCCGGTCATCAGCTGAATCCTTTCGTGGAGGGATTTCACGGTGTCCTCCGAATTAGCATGGACCACGATGGTGTTGCCCTCCGAGATCATCCGGATGAAGAATTGGAGACGCGAGGAGGAACACGCGGCGGACGATGAGGGAGCATCGGATGAGGAAGGGCGGGAATCGAGGAAGGAGGCAGGCGAGGAGGAAGAGGAACCTTTCGACGAGGGCTGAACGGCAGTGATCGGATGGCTTCCTTGATGGTGGAGATGGTGGTGGTGGTCGTCTTTTCGCATTCTGACGGGGACTAAGGGAGCCTCATCTTCGTCGGCTTCGTCGAAAGCAAGGGCATAATCGTCAAACTTACGCTTGGAAGACAGACGGTGATCGCAGCCGTTGCTGAATTGATCAACGGCGGGGGATTGGAAGAGAGACATTGGACGGTGGGGGCCCCCAGCCTGCTACGGTGGGGGAGAGCGCATGGAGAGATGGTTGAGAAAGCCGCCACCAGCACACAAAACAAACCAAAAGGAAAACCCTCGAAACCAAAAGGAGAAAGGAAAAACCCTGGCAAAGGTTAGATATAGTCTGAAAGGAGATGATTATAAGGAAACATATTGAATGCAAAATGATCGAAAATGTCGTCTCTCTCCCTATAAACGTACAGCCGTCATTACCTAAGAAGCAAAGACTGAAATCTTACGCTATTTCTTTTTTAATTTTTTTTATTTCCCCTTTTTTATTCCTTTTCTCTCTCAAATTTACCAAATTGGGTTGCTGGGTTATTGTTTCCTGCGGACCGTCGCACCCAGTTTGATTTCCCATCGCTTGTTGACGGCTATGATGTTAATTTAACTCTCCTCTCTTTGAATGCATGGATTGGATGATTTTTAAGTTTGCTCACTTGATTTGTGTGATTTTAGTAAATTAAATTCAAAATTTATAAATATACATAAAAATAAACGAATTATTTATTTAAAAATTATATTTCATGGTAGGTGACTTTATTAGTGAATTAATCTTATGAACATTTATGAAGGCATACATTAATTTAATGTTTTTATATCGAAAAAATATAATTATTAAAAGATATAATTTTATAAAAAAAACCATTATGATAAAAATTAATCACAAGAAATTATGGTGATAGTCATCTTTACATGGCAAAAAAAATAGAAATTATGTATGTTTTTTTCTTTTTTGTTACAATAGAAAAAGTAATATACATTTTAATATTAAAAATATTAATTAAAGAATTTGAAAAGATTGAAGGGACCATGGCCAATACGTTTCACCTTGCTGCCTAATCTTTCTGTCTCCGTAATTAGATGCAATGGTAGTTCATGCATCAAATGTTTGAATCATACCTTTTTTCTCTTTAATTTAATTAATCACAAGGTTTAGGGTCTGATAAAGTCAAAATAACCTATTTGAATGGATCAATGATGGAAAATTATAATAGGAAAAAAAAAAGAAAAATATTGAATTAATTAAAATTTACGATTCTCGAAATTAAAATAGATTTGAAAGAATATTTAAATAAAACGTAAGATTCGAGTTAAATTAATTAAATAAATAATTAAATCCATCGTCTTTTAATTGTCCGAAGATTTATCAAACTCAACGATTTTTTCATTCGGATATACTTTCTTCCGTTTCTTTTTAATTTTTATCTAGATTTAAGATAACAAAAATAATGATTTTAATGTAAATTATTTTAAAATTTAAGAAGTTTTTTTTATAATATAGATGTTGAATACTTGTTAATATAAAACTAATTTATAATATAAAAAATAAATAAAAGGATTGAGTATTTAAAAGCAGAACAGAATATATTTGGTTATTTTGTTGTATAATTTTTGACTCTATCGAGGGAAGATAAGATATAGATGAATCTTTCATGTACAGTAAAAATACATGTACTTTGGAAATTAACAGGAAAAGCTTTTCCTGCTTTGGTTTTTTATTAGGTTTTCTGACCGAAGCATTATCGGTTATCAGCGATCACACGCCACTGGAAAACATAATTGAGGAAATTGGACAAAGGGAAAAGACGATGCACACGCCTGAGCGTTTGCTTTTAAGAAAGTTGATCATTTATTTACTTGTAAAGAAATTTGTCGGTTCGTCCAAGGATGCTAGGGAATTTGGCAGTGGAAGTGGAATTCATTTCCCATGAATTTGATTTCGGGATTTGTTAATTACCCCACAAGAATCCTTCTCGAATGAATCAGAGTGGCAATTTGCAGGCGGAGAGAAAGGACCATTGGCTTAGCGGCTTCGGGGTTGCTTCCTTTTCCCTGCTCTGCCGCAGTCTCCCAGTGTCAAAAAAGAGTCATAAATCTCATGTGAATTGTGTGTTAGGATACGAGTAGGTATCTAAGTGTCATATCATCTTCAATCAAGAAAGAACTTTTTCACAAAATAAAATCATAAAATGTGATGGATCATAACAGATGATACACTAAGGTCAAGCAACATATCTACAGCTGCTCTTTCAATTTCCTGGTTAGGCAGGAAATTTATATGTAGCTTGGCATTCTTTCTCTTTCCTGGCTGGACAGCAAATTTATGTATAGATTTACATTCTTTCTCTTTCCTGGTTGGACAGCAAATTTGTATACAGCTTTACAGGCTTTGAATTTGTGCAATTTCTGGTTTCCTTGCACTTTCCCTCAAGAATCGAAACCCGGATCAGCTGAGGCTAGCTGTAGGCTTGTGGCTAGTTTTGTCCTACGCCATTGCCATTTCCTTAGTTTACGTTGCACAAAAGGACATGCAAGTGTCTTGTAAGGAGGAAACAATAAGAAGGGAAAGAAGGGTTTTTCATTTTTTTGAAAATTAAAGGGGAAAAGGGGTACTTAAGCGAGGGATTTGTCTTACGAGCTTCGCTGGCTCCGTTGCTCGTTTCCAGTGAAGGATTAGCTACGTAGAAAACATTCCTGATATCAAACCTCGTAAAGAGGCAAGCTAAAGGATGAGGATCTTCTAGGTAAGTTCACCACTATATTTTGCCTATTAGTTGGTGTAGGTTTGGACATGGGCTGAAGAGGGAGATGGTGATGAGAGGATACGTACGAGTCAAGGTGGAAGTGTCGGTCGTGTCTCGTGCACGAGGTGGCCTCTCCAGCGCAGTAAAGAAGCGTTGCATATTTCTAAGAAATGCATGATGAAAATCTGCATATCAGAGAGCAGACTGGAATGTCAATTGTCAGTAACGTATAAGGGGCTTGCAAAAGAAAACATGATGTAGAATTAATGCGTTTGCCGGGAGTCGAACCCGGGTCTATTGCTTGGAAGGCAATTATCCTAACCGTTGGACTACAAACGCTGGACGAGGCTAGAGTGGCACAAAAAATTTCATGGGTACAAATGAAGAACATTCTTCCATGATGATATCTGCTGTAGCTTCTTTCATTGGGTGCACCTGACCCTTGAGTTAGCAGGTGGTGGCACAGTGGCAGCATTCTTGTGAGAGTGAGCTCCTGTCGGAACAAGACAAAGGTGAATGATGTTTTTCACCATTGCAGCCAGATAAATAATACTACCATCACACACCCTTTGCTGCAACAAAACCTGATGATATCAGTTTTTCCATTTTTTTTATCTGCCCAAATTTGTCTCTCATGTAACATGGAAGTTGAATTCCCTCTTGGGAGGAGGTCCTGATTTCTGTATTTCTTCTTTATTAATAAAAGGGAAAGGGGGAAGTGATTTGAGTTTGGAAGTGATCAAATAGGGACAGTCAACAACCAGCACAAGCATGCTTACACTGCTACAAACTCTCGCGTGCTCGCATTGCACCTCAATATAAACTCCAGATTCCCGTACAAAGACTGTTCTAACTTCTAATCTTTACATAATACAGATAACTGCAAAATTTAACAGACAAGCAAATACATTAACAAGGTTTACAATTTCTCAAACACCCATTCTTGTGCAGAAAACAACACTACTTCGCCAAAAAGAGCCACCAACACAGATCAAAAGCCAGACAAAGCATTTTGATTGGAACTTGGTCTGTCTCTCTTCCAATAGCATTTTGCCGCTTGCTCTTGTCCACACAGCAGCTGACTTCTACAAAGGAGTCTGAGACTCTGAGTCAAAGACATGACAAATGCACGGAATTAATCACAGTTTTTGAATCGCCTTCTAAGATGGTTTCAAAAATGACAGGCTTTTAGCTGGCAACAATGCAATGCAAGGCATTGGTGTCTACCACTCCAGAAGATCTGTGGGACATTCTCATTGATGTTTTGAAACTAGTTAGATTTGATGAGGTTCAAAGAGAAATGCTTAAGCCGTATCACATTATTCATCTACTAAAACCATCAAAATTAGGCAACAAACTGAATTTTTCTATGCAACAACGAGAAGGCTCACAAATAGCATTAAACTATGGAACTTATAAAAGCAGGTTCAGCACAGATACAAAATTATAAGCAAATCAAATTTATTTAATCCACCAGGATGAGGAGGCTATCCACATTCCATACCAAAGCACATCTTCTCTCATATTGGATATCGTTGCCATGCACAAAAGAAGAGCACTTCATTGTTCTAAATGGCCTACATAGACCTCTATGTAGCAATAAATTCGATGAATAAATTACTCAATCCCTCCTCTTTTCACTATTTCAGCTGGGATAGTTAATCCTGCATCAATGGCTACACATAATTTACCTTAGCTACTTTAATCAAAATTAAAAAAATCCTCTTAATTAAAGCAACAAGCAAAAAGACAATGTGCAACAGTCAAGAATTTATTTCAATCGAGTGTCGAAATCACCGTACCTTTTCCACTCCTGCTTACATTCTTCTCTTTTTCACTTGACTATAACACTAATTTGAACCCCTCTGACAAGAAATCATCCCTGAACGAATCCAGAACATATTCATTAGACTAAGTTGCATAGAGGAACCATAACAGTGATTAGTGATTAATACACTACTACTTGAATAATGGGCTACCATTTGTCCATAGCCAGTTTTACAGGCCAATTCCAATGGTAAAGTGACTTACCCTCCCACCTTTCATAGGATCTCACCCTTTGAGGTTCAAACCAACAGGACTCATGCTTTTCACAAAAGCGCACTTCCTTACATAAGACACTTAGATTGGCATTTTCAATTTAACTAAATACCTTACCCTTGTTGTATGACTTTGTGCCCCTAATTATACCAAAGTAACTACCGCTAAAATGATCAAATGGTATGTAAACAAAATAGATACTGCAAAAGAAGCAAAATTTCTTATGTTCTAAGGGAGGGGAGAGGTTTGCTTACATCTTCTGGATATCCCCATTATCCTCTCGATTAAGTTGCCTTTTGTTGACATAGAGTGAAACAAGGCTTTGCAAGCAAATCTCTGTTTCATAGGAACGGGGCGTATCGCGGAACCAGACATCATTAGCTTTCTTCTCCTTCAAATCATACCAGAAATGATTTATACTATTGTGTTCCAACAAAACTTGATCACCACTCCTTGAGTAAGCCAGAGGCTTCACATACCTCAAAGAACCAATCACCTCTTCTCTTGCAACAGAAAATAGTCTAGTCCAAGACTTCTTTAACCCATACTCCTTCATCACCCAAAGATCAACTCGAACATCACCATAATTAGCTATTGCACATAAACATCCTTCCAAAACTCCCACATCTAATTCAAATCTCTTATCTTTGTACTCGGGTTGTGGAACTTCCCTGCACTTTTCAGCCCCTAAATCCAACGCAACAATTACATTCTCCTCGGAAAGTTGAACTTTTTGAGTCAGAACCCAGTGTAAAGCTCCACTTGCAAAAACCCCATTGACTCCAGGGAACGAAAATACATAAGGGATATCTGGAATTCTTCTCCACGCAAGTCTCTTCAAGCTGCAAATTTTAGCTTCTGATTCCAGAGCCTTACCATCAACCCCGCCAAGCTGCATAATTTTAACCACTTTGTAATCATCAGAAACAGAGTCGTAACCGAATCCGTACATGTAAGCATTGCAAGAACTCAGAGAAGGTAAAACTTGGTGTTTTCTAGTGTACGGGTTCCAAATAGCTATGTCTTCCACTATGTTACGGATACAGAGCAAGCCGTTGCAAGAACCCAAGATCTTGACTCCATGGTTGTAACTCATCAAAGGGTGCTCGAGCTTGGCGAAAGGGCCGAGACAGGCAAGATCAGCGGCGTAAAGTTCGGAGCTTTTGAGGATGAGGGTGTGGTTAGTGCGTGACTCGAGGGAGTGGCGGAGGTGCAGCTTGATGAAATCAGGATCGCCAATCAAAGATCGCCACACCTTCGAAACGCATCTGAGACGGAGCACATACTTAACAGGTAAACGGCTGAGTATGTCGGCGATTAAGTCGAGTGGGAGATTCGCCATTATGTTCTGGTTTTCTAGCTCTGGTCTGACTTGGCGTAGGATAGAAAATAAATGAACAGCTAACATTCTACTCGTTTTACTTGCCCCGATTCACACGATGAGAGCATCACAAGGTCAATGGTCTATAACCAATGACAATTTTTTTTTCTCTTTTTTGTCTTTGTTTTTTCCTTAAACCGAAAAATCTGGATAACCAATGTCAAAATTCGAATTAATAGATAATTGGATTAATTCTATTGATTATCGATTTAGTTAAAAGACATAAACTGTAACTTAATATTCAAAATAAAATATAGTAAGACAAGTAATGGCTTTCATTGTTAGAGAAGCTTATGTTTATATCTTTTATTTGTTCTCCCTCTCAATTTCTTCTGACAAGTAACAACCATTCCTTCATTTATTTCAAGCTACTAGCATGTGATTACAATTTCATCTAACTGCCACAAGCTTCAATTACTTTGTTTAGGATAGAAGAGAATAATGGAGGAGTACATAGACATAGTACCCTTCTACCTTTTCCTTTGTTTAATAATAACCAATGTGTTTCTTTTTTAGCCAGATATTTTTATCTTTTCTTAATTTCCATGCATCTTTTTCTTTCTTTTTCCTTCCACTACTTTTGTCATTCCTCAGAATAAAGCAAGTCTTTGAGGTAAAAGTGTTCAGCTTCTAACTTTTAACTCAATTTACTAAAGAAAAATGAGCTGTTAACGGAGTTGGGGAGGGAGGAGAGGCTTGGGCTTGAGCCTAGGGGGTGTTCCTGAAGCAGAGAACAAAGTTGAGAGGCATTTCAGTTTGTCAGGGTTATTTGTTCCTTAGTCCATGCCTTATCATTTAGGAAACCTAATCTTCTATTTCAAAAAAAAGAAAAGAAAGAAAAGGAAACCCAATCTTCGGCAAATATAGTAGGAAAGCCATATTTGGCAGAAGGTTTTGGAATTTGATGTTTATCCATTTGGTTTACAAGGAAACACTTCGCTGGAATATCTTCAGCAAATATAAGTTTTATTCTGCTGGGATTCTGGCGATCAATGTCTGGAGAGCAATTTCAATTTGCTTACTGTGAGAAAATGGTGGAAGGTGGTGTTGTGAAAGCCGATCAGACAGAGTTCAGCGAGTGCTGGAAGACGGTATGGAAGACTCCTTACATCATGCGGCTTGCTCTTTCGGCCGGAATTGGAGGGCTCCTCTTTGGTTATGATACAGGTAAGATGACAGAGATGAACTCCACGAGGTAAATGATCTCAGACATTCTCGGAGACATCTCTTGAATCTTGATTATTACTAACATATATCATTGTGGGAGTGCAGGAGTTATTTCTGGTGCACTGCTTTATATCCGGGAGGATTTCCAAGAAGTTGACAGGAAAACATGGCTACAGGTTAGATCCTTTTTGTTAACCTTCTTTTATGGTTTCCTGGTTACTTCATATGTTTTTCTCGTGTTGATTTTGGCAGGAAGTCATTGTGAGTATGGTTGTAGCAGGTGCCATTTTTGGTGCCGCATTTGGAGGATGGATGAACGACAGGTTCGGGAGGAAACTATCAATCCTGGTTGCTGATGCTCTATTCTTCGTAGGTGCCATAGTCATGGCTCTATCCCCAGCTCCATGGATGATTATCCTTGGAAGAATCTTTGTTGGTTTAGGAGTCGGAATGGCTTCAATGACTGCGCCTCTTTATATTTCAGAAGCTTCCCCTGCTAGAATTCGAGGTGCACTTGTTAGCACAAACGGCCTGTTAATCACAGGGGGGCAATTTCTCTCTTACCTTATCAATTTGGCCTTCACCAAGGTAAGTGCCAATAAACACTGAAATTGAAAAATTATCCCACGATTTTAATTTACAGTAAAATTGTGCTCCAGGCTCCTGGAACCTGGCGTTGGATGCTTGGAGTAGCAGGAGCCCCGGCGGTGGTTCAATTTGTCTTGATGTTGTCACTTCCTGAGTCTCCTAGATGGCTTTACAGACGGGTTAGAATCTTGTCTTGATTCATGTAATCGTTAAAAGAAAAAGGATAATGTTTTGTCTCTGCTGCAATTCATTAAGTATATGAATTTGACAAATTTTCTTGTAAGATGAATAATGATATGAATATCTCTGGCTCGATGTCCAGGATAAAGTAGAAGAGGCCAGGTCCATCCTAGAGAAGATATATCCTGCTAATAAAGTTGAAGATGAATTAAAGGCCTTGAAACTCTCTGTTGATGCAGAAAAGGCTGATGAGCAGGCCATTGGGGACAATTTTATAGCAAAGTTGAAAGGGGCTTTAGGCAATGCTGTTGTCCGAAGGGGACTCTATGCTGGGGTGACTGTTCAGGTGGCACAGCAATTTTCGGGCATCAACACTGTCATGTACTACAGCCCAACAATAGTCCAGTTCGCTGGATTTGCTTCAAACAAGACAGCAATGGCGCTTTCTCTGGTCACTTCTGGTCTCAATGCTGTCGGCTCTATCGTCAGTATGGCTTTCGTGGACAGATATGGTAGGAGGAGACTCATGATTGTCTCCATGTTTGGTATCATCTCTTGCCTCGTGGTGTTATCCGTCGTGTTCTTTCAAGCTGCCAGCCATGCTCCCAAAATCAACCAATTTGATTCCACCCACTTTGCTACTAATGCTACGTGTCCAAGTTACCTTTCAGCTCCCAATCCATCATCATGGAACTGCATGTCTTGCTTGAAAGCTGATTGTGGCTTTTGTGCCAATGGGGCAAGTGAGGTAAGTATTCTACCTTTTGATAGCACTCGGCCTCATCAAGAACTGTAAATGTAACAACCACCACCTCCGACTAGCTGAATCTTGGTAGAACCAGTATTATGACAACTTCAGATTCTGATATTGTTTATTTTTCTCTTTGTTCAGCGTTCTCCGGGAGCATGCTTGGCAATGACCACAGATCTAGAGAATTCATGCCAGAGACAACATCGTACTTGGTTCAAGGATGGTTGCCCGAGCAAATTTGGGTTCTTGGCTGTCGTTTTCCTAGGATTGTATATCATCTCCTACTCACCTGGAATGGGAACAGTCCCATGGATTGTGAATTCTGAGATTTACCCACTTAAGTACAGAGGTTTTGGTGGGGGTGTGGCTGCAGTTTTTAACTGGGTCTGCAATCTCATTGTTAGCTTAACATTCTTAACCCTGACAAAAGCTCTTGGCTCCTCTGGCACATTCCTCCTTTTTGCTGGGTATTGTGTCATTGGACTGATTTTCATCTACTGGTTTGTGCCTGAAACCAAAGGTCTGCAATTTGAGGAGGTTGAGAAGATGCTGGAGTCTGGTTATAAGCCGAAAGCATTCAGGAGGAAGTCCAAGAGCGACAACCAATCTCCCTAAGAGCATGCGTTCTTCTGTTGGCAAGATGATTCAGTCTGTGTTCTTCTTCAATAAAATGCAAAAAATCCGGAGTTTATTTTATTTGCCATTGTTGGTTTCGTGGGTGAACATCATAGAGGAAAATGAAATGAAAATCCATTCCTCACAAAATAGAGAAACCTTCAAGTTTAATGGTGCTTACTATCAAAAAATTTTCCCAAACTAAAACCATATGTAAGGCCACCACCCAAGATTAATCTGGGTGGTGGCTCCTTATTCGAACGAATGTTTTGGAGGTCCCATCTTTATGTTAAGGGTTGAAAATGTGAATCCGGGACAAGAACCATAAGCAAATACGTCATGCCAAGGAGTTTTAGCTTATTCTTAGAACATAATTGGGGAAGAATCTGGAATTGATTAGCTTACAGTATCCTACTCCGCAAACAAAAGTCGAATCAGAGTTGGGGTAAGAAGAATAATGTACAAACAGTCCTACGACAGGAGACAAGGACAGAAGCGGAGCTAGATGCCAGATGGAAATACATGTTACACAAACTGGGTCCTTCGGTCAGAATCCGAGGTTCATCTCAAGAGTAAGCTGCTTGTACTTCAAACAAAAGTATCTTTTCTAAAATGTTAATTCCTGGGTGAAATGTTCAGAGTGGGTACACTGCGGCAGATGCAGGAATCAGAACAGATCAAAATTGTGGTTGAAAGGTCTTAATGTCCCCCGCTACAAAAAAGCTGAGCATAAAGACTCACAACTATAATTGTAACATTCTCATGGACCTATGAATGCCAAAAAAAAAAAAAAACTTGCCAGTCACATTCACACGAAATAACAGCAAGTTCACATTAATAAAAGATTATATAAAAGCTGTCAAATCTGTC